CATGTATTATGTGGGTGTCCGTTCCCCCAATACCCACTTTATGTTGAGGTCAGCAGCAGCAGTATTACTACTACTACTACTACTACTACTACTACTACTACTACACTGCTACTAAGACTATAGGGCCATGCCATCGCTCAGGCAATTAGTCACTTGTTTCCCATTGCAACAGCCTGGATTTGATCCCAGGTTGGACTCTGTGGGATGTGTGGTAGAGAAAGTGGCACTGGTACAGGTTTTCTCCAAGTGCTTCATTTTCCCATACAATTTTTATTCCAACTGTTCAATGTTCATTAATCGTCCTGTCATCAGTGCTGTACAGTCTTGATAATGACAACTCCATTTAATATCCAACTTAAAATATTCAGTTATTTTAATATCTACTCATGTATTGTTATTAACTTATTTCATTTCTTGTTATGTATCTTTTATTTGCTTATCCTTTAAACCCTTTTTCTTATCTTGAAAGGTTTTTACTTTACTTTATTTCTGTATTTCTTGCTGCTAAATATCTTTCCTCTGTGATCCCATTCATGTACGAGTAACTGCATGATTGTATTTGCTGTGTTCCTTGTTTGTTTGATGTACCTCTTCTAGGTCATATTTCATCTCTTTCATCAGGATATTCTGTGCTTGTTTTGTGAACGTCACCCCAAAGAGATAAAGTATCCTGTCATAAAATTCCGTTTTGTTGATCGTGTGTGTCCCGTTTTTTTAGGGATGGGGAAGTTACATGTGTTAAATTCAGTTATTTATTTGGCACGTTTTGATCACATATATTTAGTGGGGTTTGCTGTATAGTAAATTAGAAAGAAAGATGTATGTGTGATATTGTGATAGTAGAAGGGAGGTTTTACTGTATATTGAGAGATCATTTTTGCAATGATTTTTTACTTTACAGTGTGCTGTTCTAGAATCAAACAATAGTGATTGTTGAAAATATACATATTTTGTGAAATTTTAAATGTTACAGGAAAAACAAATTCTGTTGTGCCTTATGTGATGGTATCCTTTTGTTGTTATGACATGTAATAACACAATAATAATGTTTAATGAAATTATCCTTTACTTACACTTGTATTCACCAGCATCATTGCAGTAAATTAATACACTTGGATATCAGCATTATTTTGCACCATGGACTCCAGAATTTGGCCACTGGATTTACACTTTTGAAACAGTGTTGTTTCATTATATGACGCAGTGGATTTAATTTTAACAGAAAGAGCCGGGATAGTGTAGTCTGTATAATGACTCACTATGAGCTGGATGACCAAGGGATCAGAGTTTGAGTCCCAGTGGGGGCAAGAATTTTCACGTCTCCATGTCATCCAGACCGGCTGAGGTCCACCCAACATCCTATCCAATGGGTATTGGGAGCTCTTTCCCTAAGAGTAAAGTGGCAGTGGTGTCAGTCTGACCACTCACCACCAGATAGTGCTGAGGTCAAGAAAATGTTGATCTATGCCTCCGCTCCCCCATATGCCTTCATGGCGTAGTGCGTAATTAGTTAAGCACAGGGACAACTTTATCTTTTTTACCTTGGTATACTATTTTTGTGACTGAAGAGTTTGTATGAAAGAAAATAAAAGTGTATTTTTAAGTTTTCAGAATATCTGTAGATTCCAGTTAATAGCATTCTGTTTCTCCACTGTAAGAAAGAAATATAAAAATTAGAAATAAGAAGTTATAAAGAGCTAGATTATTAAAAATTACTAAAATTATTTTAGAAGCATTATGTAACTGAAGGCATGCAAAATGTACCCCTTTCAGAAACCAGTATATCTCTTACTAGTTCTGTGTACATTTCTATTTTCATCAGTTGACAGAATTGCATTTGATTAGGTACAGAAATAAATTTTACTAACCATGAGACCAGAATGGGTCAGCAGATGGCATAACTGTCTTTGGACAAATACTAAGAGACAGGTGAAGTAGCCAGGGCCCAATATACAGGGCTAGTCCTTATTGCTGAGCCAGCAACTGGGATTTTGTCTGCCGAGGCTGGGTCTGCCTGTCTCTTCATGTAAAAGACAAAGAAAGAGAGAAGTATCTACTCACTTGGGGCTGTGAATTTAGGCTATTCCTTACTGCTGAGCTAGCAGTAGAGATTATCTCTGCAGAGTTTTGGGGGCTGGCTCTGTCCTTATCTGTGTACAGGTAAAAGCAAGGACTGATAGGAAGTAACTACACTTTAAACAAGCCTAGTCCTTATTGATGAACTAGCGCTACAGTTTATGCCTAAAACATTTTAGAGGATGGTTCTATTTCTGTTTTCAGCAGGAAGGATTATACTGAGTTTACAAGAAAGAGTAACATGGATTGAAAACATCCACATCTCTCAAGCTGTTACAATTCCTCATTGTACTCTCTGTATCCCCCTGGAGCCATCAAGCCATTCTGTTCATATTGTGATATGTGGGCTGAAAGCTGGAATAGTTCAACAAGAAAAGTCCTCCATTGCTGGGCAATGGCCACAGCAAGAAACCTTTACTGTCTGACAAATACTGGAATCTGCTGACTGCCTATTGGTCATAAAGTGACTTTTACTTTTTTGTATGAGACTGGGTGAGCCTTTACCTATCAGCAAAATTGCTTTGCTTGTTAAACACCTCTAGAGGGGAATTCTGAAGGCTCCCAGACATTCTTCAGAAGCTGCCAGTTGTGCAGCAACTCAATTTCCCGGCATTTTATGGAACCTGAAGGTTCGTTACCATGTTCATAAGAGCTCTCCACTGGTTCCTATCCTGAGCCAGATCAATCCAATCCATACCATCCTATTCTATCTCCCTAAGATCCATTTTATTATTGTTCACCCACCTACATCGTGGTCTTCCTTGTGGTTTCTTTCCTTCTGGCTTTCCCACCAATATCCTATATGCATTCGTCTTCTCCCCCATTCATGCTGCATGCCCTTCCCATCTCATCCTCCTTGACTTGATCATTATAATTATACTTGGAGAAAAGTACAAGATATGAAGCTCCTCATTATGCAGTTTTCTCCAAACTCATGTTACTTTCATTCATTCATTCATCAGTAATCTGTCAAGACGACAGGTCCACAGTCTCTTCCAAAACAGTTCCTCCACTTGATGCGATCTAGAGCTTTCTCCTTCAAATGAAACATCTCGCATACATGGTATCTCTGGTTTTGGAAAGAGACTATCCAGGAAAAGTGATAATGTGGTAGTTTTTCCATTTGCTTTCCACATCGCAGTACAATAGGCGTTCAAACCACTCTGGTCACGCCTGTTGCTATACGAACTTGAACCATCTCGAGCATTATTTACTCTGTGCTTCAAGTCGCTGCTGATGACGCTGCTTCCGGCATCAGTTTTTGGTGTCTCTCTTCGTCTGATGCCTACCCTTTGACCTGTCCAGCAAGGGAGGCCCTGCCAGTAGCTACGCTACCGCTGGTATAGCTCTCAGGGTCCTTGGCATACTCAAACCCCCTCACCACGATAAGGTGGAGCCACCAACGAGGGGGCATGTTACTTTATCTCTCCAAATATTCACCTCAACACCCTGTTTTCAAACACCCTCAGTCTGTGTTTCTCCCTTAATGTCAGAGACCAAGTTTCACACTGACATTGAGGTAAGAACATAGACTGAGGGTGTTTGGGAACAGGGTGTTGAAACACCCTCAGTCTATGTTCCTCAATTAATGTCAATGTGAAACTTGGGGATGAACATACTGAGGATGTTTCTACACCCTGTTCTCAAATGAACCGTCAGAGAGTAAAATATGGCCATGAGTCCTGAGGGACTCAGAACCAAGAATCACTGTGTCGGCGAGGGCCAGGGGCAGTTTAGCAATCAGGCAGTCAGTGAAGTTAGTCAGATGTGAGAGAGATTCACCAGCTGGTAAGGACATGATCACGGAAGCAGAGTAATATCCATTGTTGGGAGCTGCTGTCTAGCAATGAATGACTGTATAACAGACTAAGATGTAGTGTGTGCTGTAGTGATTTGTAAAGTGTGTAAATTAGTGACAGTGTTATAAGTGTTCATAAATCCAATTATCAGTCCAAACCCCGTGTCTAGTCACTAACATGTGACTGTGATTGTAGGTTGTGATAGCCTTTGCTAGTGACAAGTACTTTGGGCTGATTGGCATGGGCCAAAGGGGGCTGAAGGGGAATACATCAGGATGCAAAGAAAGGGAAGCTTCGAGCATAATCATGCCCACTGTGGTACTTCTTTCACTACCCTTAGTAAGTTGGTTTAACAGGACCAGCAGAGTAAGTACTCTCTCTTTCGTTTTTACCTGCAGAAGGGGACAAGACCAGCTTCTGAAATGTTGCAGACATTTCTCTGCTCCAGGCAATGGACAGTGAACAGGGAACATCTTAAAGTCATAGTTTTATGTTGTATACTCTTATGTATCAGCCTGTTTTCTGTGTCTGTGCCATCATTAATAAAATGTTACCAATTTGGCATTGTGATGCAGATAGGTGATTTTGACAGTATATTGTTTACTGAACGTGATAAAGTTTGTTGGAATTGTGAGAGTAAAGAGCCTTGCTCATTAGAGTTCAACAGACAAAAAGGAACTTCATGAGTGAAAAGTTTGAAGTTGCTAAATTATCAAATTTTAAAATGTGATAACGGGATGCATTGAAGGTGAAGATTATCATTAATAAATGTTGTAATTAACAGTTTATTAAACTATATTGAGATGATAATGCTGCAGTAACTATGACTCTTACTGTATGGCAGTTGTAAATTTGTGGTGTGAGCTGATATTTGAATGTGTTACAAGTTTATTATGTTGTATCTAATGTGGCAATTAACATGAAATAATGTATATTATTATTCAGTAGTGTTTGTAGATGATTTCCACAAATCAAGTAGAAGCAGACACTTGGGATTTTGTCATTCTGCAGGATGACGCAAAGTGAGATATTTCATGAAACATCATGTTGAGCCGCTTTAAACTCAATTTAGGAGTGTTGGACTATCCACAGTTTAGTTCATATTTTGAAAATGTGATATCTACACTTCTGAAATTTAAAAGAATGCCTAGGAGGACTTGGATGTGGAACAGTTGATTTTCAGTAGCAATGAGAAAGTGGGGAAAAAATAGATGTACACGTAGTTAATGCCACTCTCTACTTCTTTGCATTTAGGAAGTGTCAGATTTGAATCTGAATTTAGGTACTAGCTATCCTGACCCAGATATTTCATAGTTGTCCTCATTCTTTCAAGGATGGTGCTTGGGCAGAATCTGAAAAAGACTGCTTCTTTCCACCTACTTTCATATTCATCATTTGCTGTCATCCAACCATTTAACTTTGTTTGCAGTTTGCAAAGCTTTTTTAAATCTGAAGCTATCCTTTAGGATGAAGTCATTCCTGTTATTCATTGAATGCATTTCTGTGGTAGAAGATTGCAGATGCACTATATGTTTTAAAGTTCTCAAAGTTTGGAAACTGATATTTGTATGCCTTCAGTGTTACACTACTAGTGTCTTGAAGTATTAAGCTGCTGGCTGTGTTTGTCGGAAATGACAAGCTTCTGATATAATTTTGTTATGCAACTGTTTCAGAGTTCAAATCCTGAGAGAGCAGTATGTCCTCATGGGAGAGCTCCTCTCGCCGACGCAATCCACAGTCCAGTTCATCACGACTTCGCATGGATTCATACAGCTCTGCCAATAGGTTGAGCCGAACCAGAGGTGAAAGTTTATTTCTCTTGTTTGCATCTATATAACTAATCCTTCACCACATTGACCTAAAAATAATTTCACATTCACGTAGCTGATGATAATGCATTGACTGATATGGTTTTAGAGCTTCTTGCAGTACCAGGACTATGTTTGTTTTTACATTCATTTTTGCTGTGGTTATTTGCAGCTGTAAAACTAATAAAGAAATCCGTGTGAGTTACATTTTGGTAGTAACATTTCCTCCACATCACACAGAATAGTTTTACTGGTCTCTAGGTAACATTACGAGTAGATAGTGATATTTCTACTTTAACCTGTTTACATCTAGTGAAGTGGCCACCTGTTTTTACAGTTCCTTTCTAGAATTGAAGAAGGCATAATGTGGTTTGTTCCTGTCTTTACACGTGACATACTGGTCTTCATTTATTGCAAATACAGATGTGTTAATGACAGCTGATCTACAACAGAGGAATTGCACTGCATACAATTTAAAATTGTGGTGTTTACAAATCAATTCAGTGGAACAGATATACTGCACAAATGCAAGCAATTATTTTTCATTGTAGTTTCTTAAATATTGTCATGTGTAGGGTGGTACATGTGATGAGAATGACGGGTTCTAGTTCATATGATTGGATTTATTAGCACCTTGGTTACGCACTCTCTTAATCACACACTTAAATACATGCAATAGATCGCTATCACTGATGTACACACTTTCCAGTTCACTGTTGCACACACACACACTAGGATTCTCAAGTCTTCGCTGGTTGTCTCCTAGCAAGGGATCTCAACACAGAAACTGTAAAGGTCACACTGGATTATACACTCCCAATATCACTGCACTATAGTACTCATATAAGGCCTTAAAATCGCACATCAAATGTTCACAGGCTGACGTCTTGCACTCTTCTATGCTCCTGGTTCCAATTCACTCCGCCAGCTTATGACTGAATTGAATGTCGCTGCTTTTACTCCGCACTAGTCTCTGAAATGACTTGAGCTGTCCTTGACTCTCCACACTTTATCACTTTCACTTAGAAACTGATATCTGTTCTGTCTGGAACTGTCATTATATAGCCTCCGCACCGACCACACAGAACACAGCCTCTGTTGTTGCAGAGGAGTGTTTACTGTGATGTTGCATAGCAGCGGTTATGGCATGGACACCATAGAAAGCCAGTCATGTGATAGTCATCTTGTTAGCCCATTGGTGCGCTGACTGTTACCCAGCAACGAATTATAAACATTCATCCTAGTGTTGCGTGTGCTTACATGACTGAAGGTTGTTTACAGGTCATTGCCTCGAAATGCTCTGACCATCCATGTTACAATATATTATGTGGAAGTTGTGGTTTTAAAGAGATGTTTGTGTTCAGGATGAGAAATTTGGTAATATTTAATTTTAGTATAGTGTAATGTAATGTGATTATAAGGGACTAATAAAGACCAAAATGGTAGTCCCACAACTACTTTTAGTGTAGATTTCTGGTACCCAATTCTATGCATTTCCAGTGACTAGTTCTGGAGAACACACAGTCTGTATGACCTCTCCATTGTGCATTCACTGCATGAATTTTGTGTACACTACATGTAAACTTTGAAAGATGGGAAAATGTTTGAGTCAGTATGGAAACATTGTTTTTGTGATTAAATAAGATTAGTACTCTCTTTGTATACCAAATCCCAAAATAAATGTGCTTTAACAGTATCTCCTCCAAAGCGACGTGAACTGGACAAAGTAATGAAGAAAGCACGGCGTGATGGACCTATGCAGAGCAGTTACTGGAACAAGAAGCTACTAGAAGTTGAAGAAAAGGACCCAAACAGGTTTGTTAGCATACACTGATCAGCATAATTAGAGTAACATGTGAAATCGAAGTGAGAAGTGTTGAAGTCATGAATTTGGGTTAGTGGATTCTTAATAATAGATTTAATCTCAGAATCTGCTTTACTTAGGTGTACTTCGTAAATGTTGCAGTAAGCGGAATAACTGTGTAGAAAATTAATACTGTGTACTCTTTTATTAATTGTAACTTTCAGACCTAGTGTATCAGAAAGAACCCTTCTCCTTTTCTTCCAATTTCCCTTCCCCTTGTCCTCACTGTCCTCATCTTCCTTTCATTCTCCTCCTCTTCCTACTCCATTATCTTCTTTTATGTGCATGTTTCTCATCATTTTTCCATTTCTTCTCTTCCTACATCCCAATTTCCTTTCTGTGCATGCTTCTCTTCTTCCTCCTTCCTTTCCTTCTCTTCATACATCCTCATCCTCTTCTTTTGTATCTTTCTCCTCCACTTCCTATTTTTCTGCTTCTGCTTCCTCTTCATTATTCTGACAGTTGTCTGCTCAGTGTGTAAAGATGGCTGAAGTCTGCTTCTTTCTCCTTTGGTAAGAAATTTCTGCAGCTGTTACATATTTTTATTTTAGGACTCTTGTCAGTTTAAATCACACATCCATTTTGAAATAGTTCTTAACATATCTTGTAATATTTTCTCTGTCCTTTTTATCAGGGGTTGCAGCAATAAAGAGCCCACTGCACTGCCACTACACTACACTACACTACACTACACTACACTACACAACACTTCACAACACAACACTGTGCAGTACACTACACTCTGTTATTGTCAGGTTTCGACTTTTCTGCAGTATGCCTCACAGTAAACTTTCACAAACTTATGATTGTTTGTAACTCTGCAGTTGCTATTCATCTGTGAAGTTATCACAACCTGTTTGAAGACACTGAGGTCACACTGTAAGTGTTGCCAGCTGTTGTTGTTGTTGTCCAGTCACAGAGTTATGCCATTAGGCCGGTCATGTTTTTCTTAACATTCATGTTTCATCCAGCAGTATTTTTTAAGACTGCATCCAACTTGTCATTTTCCTGTTAGATGAGATTTTAAAATTTGTTTTGTGCATATGGAATTCTCCATTTGGTGAATGTGTTCAGTGCAGTTTTTCTTCCAGGAAATCTATTTTGAGTGCTTCTAAAATTTTAACATATCTGTTATGGTTGAGAAGAATGTATCCTGCTGTTCATCATATAACATTTCACTTTCCAAAGCTCAAAATCTAGTGTTGCCAACCTCGTTATACAAATGTTGCTTCTGCAGCAGTGCTTGAATGGCTGCCATATCAGCGTTATTGATGGTAGGGAATTAAAAGGTATGAGAACGAATACACATTTAATAGCATAAGGTTCATACTGTATTACACAGTTATTTGTCTGTTGGTTCAGAAGTTATGAGTGGGACATTAATACATGTACAGGGATAAGAATATCAATTCCATTTTTTATTTTATAAGAATTCAAGATAAAAATAACAACCCAGAGGAATATCTGCTTCTCTAGAAAATACTGAAATGGCACGTCAGAATAAGCTGTGATTACTTCAAATAATATTCTGTTACATTTACAGTCCATTGAAATGCTGTTATTCAGGTCTTCATGAAACTTATAAAGGTATGTAGAATGTGAAATAACAGGGAGGTGTTCACTTAATTTGCCCTTTCTAAATTAAGATATCATAATCCTCAGAATTAGGTGGTGACAGTCTATTTGATGATGCAGATGGCGACACAGTGGATTCAAGGAGCTGTATGGTGGTGGAGGTGGTAACTCATCACCTCACGGTTCCCGTTCTAGCCATAAGAGATCTCGTAGCCGCTCACGTGGTGCAGTTCGTAGTAGCCGGAATCGAGTGAGGTCCCCTCCACTTCCTGTGAGAACCCGATCACGCTCCAGAGACCGAGACAGAGAAAGGGACAGATCCAGGGACCGTGATAGAGATCGGGATCGAAGACCACACACACCACAGCCACAAACTCAGAGGGTAGAAAATTCAGATTAACATTTTACTGCATATCAAGCTTCAGCAAATGTTACTGAGTATACTACTACTGTAAACACCTGTGATAAATTTATAGTAATTGGAATAGCTAATGAGGGACCCAAGGGCAGACTACTTTTAATGTCATGCTATCATGCAACAGGATCTAATAAAATATGAGCTTATAGCTTACTAGCACCTAAGTGAACCAAAAAATATGCATATGTGTCAGTAGAAAACACACATCAAAGTGCAGTATTTCTCAAAAGTTGCCTTCATTTGTTAAAGTAGTATACACAGGAAGAAGTTACTAATAAGTGTCACTTAAAACTTTAACATTTTAAAATCAAACTAATTTCATGTAATTTTGTAAGGAGAAAGACACATATGGAGGTCATATCTGTCCGTTATCTAAGGTCTGCGGCACTTGTGGATGGATGGATGGATGGATATTAACATTTTAAATTAAGTATAGGGCTGTTGTAAATGATTTAGATGATAGGAAATTAAGAGTATTTTCTAAACAGAGGAATGTGAAAGAACTTGAAAACAGGAAGGAAACCCATCAAGTTTTTGTTGGAAATACTGATTGCAACATATCAGTCACGAGTGGCACTCAGGTCACTATCAAAGGAAATGGCATCTGAGGTGCAAAAGGCTTGGTTTGGATAGGATAAGGAGGGCCCATTCCTTGGCTCCCTAGATCCCTGGCCCTCAGTCCATGTGATTTATACCTATGAGGATATGTGAAAGACCAGGTATAACCAACCACCAATGCTGCAGCCTTTTCAAGAGCTTCAAGAGTGAATTTCACAGGCCATTGCCAGTGTGTATGGTTCACAGCTGTGGCATGGATGTGAAGAATGTGAGTATTGCATTGACTTTGCAGAGTAACTAATGGATCACATGTCAGACATTTCTAGATAAATGTCATGGGTTTCCATACTGTTTTCAGATTGTTTCGTGTTTGTATCTGTTACTGTTTTGAAAATACTCTAATTCGTTATCACCCGAATCATTTAAAATTACCATATATTTTCAGTAAGACAGAAACCCGAAAGGATTCTTTCTGACCATATTGGTCTGTTATGTTTTCCGCTTTATGCCACGTGCTCTTCTGCAGGAGAGGTGAATGCTTGTTTTAGATCCTCCAAAACAGACCCAGTGCTCATAGCTGAGGCATGACCACTCAGCTCTGGGTTGTTGAGGGTTTGTCTGTCACCTCTAAGCAGAATGGTTGTTGACTGAGAACTGCAGACTGACTCCATCAGGAAAAATAAACCATGCGATACATTGCTTGGGGAATGTATAAGAATTGGATCTGATTTTTGTCAATTGTCCATAAGTTCAGGAAGTGGTTATATCAAATGGCATCAGTGAAACAGAAGACAATACATACAACTCTTTACATGACAAAGATAAAAGTGGTGGGAATAGCGACTGCTATGCATGGATTGATTTGTGCAGTACACTTTTTTATCTCTTTGTTTTTTTAATGGAGCATTTTGTTAAATATTACTTACTGTTTGTGCCTTTGTATTAGTAAAATGTGTTAATGTTGACAAAGTTTATAGCCACATGTACTAGCCCCAGATAATACAGGGTGGGGTGCAGAAACTTCATTTTTGTGAAGATGCATTGTGAAGGGAGGGGAGGTCGCAGAAAAGTGGGGATAGCCTCGGCGAACGCAACAGTCGCTGAAGTTTCTGTCTAATACACCTCAGTAGGAAACATGAGGTGGATGAGTGAGCAGTGTGCGTTTGCTGTTGAAGCCTGTTTTTCGAACAACCATTCCTACGTGGCGGTGCAGCGTGCGTTCCATACTCACTTCAGAATTAAGCCCAGAGGTCCTGTTCCCGAGCAGAAATTGATTGTTTTGTGGGTAGAGAACTTTAGGACAACTGGTAGTGTGGTGAAAAAATCATCAGGACGACAATGGACCATTTCGATGCCAGAAAATTTGGAGGCAGTTCGACAGTCGATTTTGAGATCTTTTTTGAACCAGCTCTTGAAGAAATGCATCTAGGAAATGTCTGCTTCCAACAGGATGGTGCCACAGCCCAAGCTTCATTGACAGTTTTGAGGGCAAAGTTCCCCGGACGGCTCATCTCGCTTCGAGATGACATCCCATGGACAGCGCGCTCACCTGACCTAACGCCCTGTGATTTTTTTATGGGGATACCTCAAGGCAGAGGATTTTAAACATCGCCCCACAAACCTGCTTCAGCTGAAGAATGTTATTCGGCAGGAAGTCGCCCAAATTCTGATGCACATGTTGGAACGTGCAGAGGAGAACTTCAGAAAACGGTTGCATCAGTGCACAGAGAACGGTGGCCACCACCTTCAAGATATTTTGTTTAAAACTACATGATCTAAAACTTTAAAGTATGTTCTTTCATTAGCTAAACATAAATTTTGTCTATCAGCAATAATTTTCTTTTATTTGCCTTCAAAAAAAAAGAAGGAAGTTTCTGGTCCCCACCCTGTATATGATGAAAATGGAGCATTTGGCAGAATGAGAGTGGGCAGGGGAAATGATGAAGAAAAGCAACCCGTTGCCACCTTGACTATCAGAAATTCCACATGAACTGACCTGGGATTGAACCTGTGCTACCATGCTGAAATTCTGATGACTGGCTGGACTGTGACATGGCCATGTTGACATAATAGTATTCATGCAAATGTCTGAATACCATTATGTTCATTTAATTCTAGAAAGACAGTAGTGAAATCCAACACCTGGCCAGTTCTACTGTTGATATGAAGTATGTTTTTCTGAAAATCAAAAATTTTAAGAGAGGATCATATTTAGGTAAGTGCAGTGAATTTTCTTGAATCAAAATTATGCATTTTCTTGCGTGTAACTCATCTGTTTTTTGTTGCTGTGCAGCCATAATTTTCCTAACTGCAGTCTTATTTTAAATTTATGGAAGGTTGCGTGTTCCAGGTCCCGATGAGGTCATTCAGTTTTTTTCATTTGACCTAATCCTTCCAGCTGCACTATGGCCATGGGGTCGACTCAGCCTCTAACAGAGGCAGAAATGAGTACCAGGAATTAAATAATTTTCTTGGGGAGTAAAGCGTGGCCGGTGCGTAAGGCTGACAACCTTACTGCCATCTTTGAGCCGATTGTCTAGATAATGTGGGACCCTCAATGTCTCACAACCCTATGGGCTTTTACTTTATTCTGAAAAGTAATATTTCCACATTTCACAACTTTCATGCTCAAATTTTTGTTTAAAAAATGTTAAATTACACAAGTAACTACAATTTATAATCTTAGTTTATTTAGTGTACCTCAGCTTTAAGGTTTTTGCATTTAATATTCAGTTCCTGATCTCATGGGCCAATTATCCAAATTCATTATATTCTCTTTCAGAATTTTCTGCATTATTATTCAAATATGCCCCCCCCCAAGAGAAACAAATGTCAGTTTTATTGCAGTGTAATTTTTGAACATAATTGTTTGTTTCAGCCTCAGCCACAGCAACCAAGACGACGCACGCCCAAGATGGCATCACTAACACCTAGCTCTCGTTCACTGAGCTCATGCTCTGATGAGTCTTGTTCTGTATGTTCGCCTAAAGGCAATAGGAAAGTAGTTACTTCACCAGCACCTGTAGCGAGTAGGGCTAGACAACCAACTCCTCGGTCCAGGTGTGTATGTTGGATGTTTTTTTACCAGTGAGTGATTTATATACATTTCAGAATGTTGAGTTCTTTCACATCAACCATAAAGACAAAAGCAGCATGAATTATGTTTGTAGATATATGGGACAGGCAAGATAAACATAATTTTTCCTCTGGTACATGATAATGCTTAGCACATTGGTTGAAGTGGTAATGCTTCTGATTTTTATTCAAGGGGTGCTCAGTTCAAATAGCTGGACACCAACTATGTAGTGTCATTTTGAGCTGCTGTAAATTTTTGTTCCTTAAATTTGACATACAGTGTCGAGCAGAAAAACTTTGAGTAGAGAGTCCGAAGTGTCTTTCTGTTAAGTTTGACTACTGTACAGTTGGTAGTGTGGGGGGAATGTTGGAATCTTCATGAGAGGAAGGTTGACAGTGTAACATAAGTGGCTTAGATTGGCTGGTCACACATTTTTTATGCATTTCCAGATGGAATCGAAGTTTGAAACTGTAGATTCATATCAAGGATCTTGAGTTGTGCCCAGAGAAGTAGAAAATTCCAGGAAAGTGGCATATGTAAAGTGTTGAGATTTCACTACATAGGTACTAGTTAACTTGTTTTTGGGTGTATGACTTTGATTAGTGTTTCCTATTTTTAGTTTTCACTGTGATTGTATTTCAGGTCTCGATCATTTTCTGTGCCAAGAAATCGTTCTAACAATCGATCGCCTCTTCCTCCAAGGAGTGGCTTAAGACGGCAGCGTGAAAGGTCTGGGCCTCCTAGTGATCCAAGAGGCCCACCTCCAAGTCCACCTCCAGCAGCACGAAAGAGTCTCAAAAGCAAACGTAAAGAAAGTAGAGATAAAGTGAGTTGTTTATTTTTTTCCTTAATTAACTGTAAAGCTAGTTGAACCTTACAGATTGGAACTGAACATAAATGAAACAAGTCTGTACACATAGCAGTTTTATGTTAAGACTTTTTTCACTCATCTTCAGGCTGTCATTTTAAATTTAATATCGGCGATTTCTGCATGTACAGATGTTTGGTTCAGGTTGCAGCTGCAAGGATTGTAGCTGGGATGCTCAGTTTATGCTTGAAAGAGAAAAATTTTAGATAGGAACAAATATTAATATCTCGAATATGGATTAGGAGACCACACTTTGGAACTTAGCTACCCCCGCAAACAGAATTATTAAAGAAAAATCCAAAGGCACCTTCATTTAAGAATCAATTCTTTTTGGTCGTTTGCTTAGTACATTTGAAAATGCCTTAGGCATGAATGGTACCAGCATGAATCAGTATCACTAGAACTCAAATTTTGAATTATATTGCAGTGTACATGATTTGAAGCATTATATTCATCTTTGCAGTATTTATTCCATGTTCCAAAAACTGATAATGCCAAATATATATGAGAGGTCGGCAGTGCATATAGGACGAGATTTTAAGATGGCATAGGAATTTACTGTACAAAAAATTAGGCTCCTTTAGCAGACACATGTTAAGAACTGGTGTTTCAGTGCCAGTTTTCACAGTCTTTTTACATTTTGTGATAGTTTGTTGTGTGGTACTTGCATGTAATCTGCCAATTACGAGTACAGTGTATTAGATGTGATCCACAGCCACGTTTCACTGAAGCACTGGAATGTGGTTTATTAGGAAAAGATTGAACAGAAAGTCTTGAAGTAGAATTAGACAGCACCAGTGCTCCATAAATCTGAAATGTGTTCATGACATTTCTTTGCTGTCAGCTTCTGTATTTTTGCCATGAGACCTTCAGGCAGCTTTCAGATTTGTGCTGCATTGCTTACCCCAAAGGTATATTGAGAAATTTCTTTAATTATTCTTATGAATCCTGTTTTGGGGGTGACAGACTTTGCTTTTACTCAGTGTTATTACTAATTATGATCATTTCCAGAATGAACATGAAAGAACGATGATCACTCAGCCTACCTCAGAACCGGAATCTATAAGTTTAATGCTGAAAAAATTTTAAAAGAGCCACAGCTGTAGTTTCACTTAACCACTTTTATTTTTTCTTCTTCTAAAATCATGTTTGATGATAGTCTGATGCTTGGTTTTAGCCTCATAGTCAAAACATAAAGGCACTAGCAGATGTGTGAGACTTCTGATTTTTGACAGGTTTGCTGGTATGTGTAGTGGATGAATAAGAGCACTGGTTGTACCACTCACTGTTGCTACCATGTCTTGCACACTTGCAGTGAAGTGGAGCTTTGAAACTTGACTGTAAAACCCCAAAACCCATTGCCTCCTTGTAAACTAGCCTGCGTAGTATATGCATAAGGTTTCTGAAGTTCTTTCATTTTATGGATGATGAAAGTGGTTCGCTCACGGCAGAAGTCCTCAAAGCTTGAAAGTGTGCATCACCAAAACTCTTGGGAAAGAACAAAAAATAGAATATTTAGATCGATCTTCAGAATATTGTTTTATAGGATTCAGCTTAAATTCATGAGTGGATGTTACAGTTAGAGATTTTATATTTTTGGATTCACATGATTTTCCTTTTGATTCTATTTGCCGATACCTAGCCCTAATTTATTGCATAAATGCTGCAGAATTGAAGTTTGGGTAGTCATTCCTTCTGGGACTGGTTATTCCACCAGATTTTCAGTCTGACTAGTTGTGTAATCGTAGATGAAATTGGTTTAATTCCATAATAATTCTGTATTGACAGTTCAGATTAAGTGGTGCTATATAATATTTATGATTAATGATGAACTGGGAGAATCATAAGTGAAATGTGTAACTGTAGCCTATTTGGAGGAATGAATTCACTGAACTACTATAACTCTTGTTTGGCATTTGAGTGGGAGACAGATTTCAGTAGTTTGTTCTGTATGTTCATTATTGGCTTAGTTCTAATCGAGTTTTTGACATGAATTATGGAATTTTGAACCTCATATTGGCAGAGTTCTAGTAAAAAGCGGAAGAGTGGAGGAAGCAAGTCAAGTCGCAGCAAACGACGCCGCTCTTTGCCAGTGGCAGAAGGAAGCACTAGTCGACGACGTAGTTCACCACCAGTTTCCTGTTCAGATGAGAGTTCAACATCGTCTGTGACATCTGGAGGTGGTGTACCAAAACTCACATTATCAGAACGCTTTGGTAAGATGGCACAGTGGTCTGTAGACCGAAGGGACTTGGATGGGGTGAAGAATATGCGTATTACAAAGGATTCAGATAGTTCTGACCTGAAGGTTGTTATCGAAGGTGAACGGTACCCTAGAGCACTTAGTCCTATGCCAGTTAATGATCGTCGTGTTGGAGCAGGTTATTTTCCAGAGTCTCTTCATTCTGGACCAATAGGTTTGGATGCATGGGATGATGTCAGGGTTCGATATAAGTATTACAAAGATCGAGGTTATCTTCGCGATCTTACACTTGATGATTACATGAAGTGGGAGGAGTGGTGGTACAAATACCAGGAGTGGCTGGAAGCAGAGAGGTACTATGAACACTGGGCAGCTGTGAGAGCTGAACAGGCTGCCCGAGGGGGAGGCAACAAGATGTGGAATGATCAGGGCCTTAGGAAGCGCAGGAGACTGTAAATAAGAATGAAATCACATGTTTGCCAAGTTCTGCTTGAATGCATACACTTATAAATATTTCCTCATTGATTGCAGTATGAACCTATTGAAGGGCTGGATATATCCAGATCTGAATACACCATAAGCAGACAATGGGAAATTCTGCTTTGTGTTTCAGCATTTGTATGATTCCCAGATCATATTTTTATGTAGTGAGATATTACTGTGTGTGTGTGTGATGTAACAGATATTGTTTCAATAAAATTTCAATAAAAAACTTAAATTTAATTTGTGTTTCCCCTATGATTCCTTTTCTAACGGTATCTGAAGTTAAATGATGACATGCAGACTGTGTTTGAGATTTAGAGACGTTATGGAAGACTATCTGTTTTTCTGTTCATCATTTGCTTGGCACACATGTGAAATATGTTTTGTATTATGTGGGAGTTAAAATTAGGTGGAATCTCTGCTTGAGTCATTGTCGCCCCTCTTTATACCAGTGTTTTATTATGCGAATAAGACTGCTGACTGAATGTCTGAGATACGTATGTTGTGGAAGACAGGTGAATGCACTGTGGAATTCAGGCCCAAAGTCTGTTAGATTTATTTATGGTCTATTTAACAATACTGTGAATAGTGTAGACCGTAGCATTAGAAACCTGTTTTCAGATAAACACACCTGATTGCTTTGTGTGGGATCTGTAAGAATTATCTGATATTAAAATTATAATAGATTTGGTATAATTTTACTCCCTCCTAAGTATCCTAGAATATTAAGACATAAAAATAGAAGAATTGTAATTCACTGGATGACATATAAGCCACCATAGATTTATTTTTGTCTATTGGTATTTCATGTAGGCAGCTCATTACATTATAAGTGCCATGCTGTAGAGGTTTGTGGTTCAAGTTCTATTTGAATTTGTACATTCTGTTTGAGGAAAGAGATTTATATACATACAGACATGTTTGGTAGGGTTACCATATTATTTAAAATGAATTTGCTGCACAGCATTCTCCTTGGTGAAAATTCTGATTAGGTTTTATATTTGTGCAGAAGCACTGGTATATTGTATTTACATTGATTTAATACAGTATCCTTCCACTTCACTCAGCTTTCTGATAGTGAAATTTAAGATACCATTCTATCATTGCTCAAGACCTTTAATCTGTTCTACAATGTTGTACCTCCACATGCCCAAAGGTTTTTTTGCTTGTGAAGATGAGGCCTGACTTTTGTTGGAGTACTTGATGTCGTAAATTATTACAGCTAACATTACGAAAGTAACTGAGACTTCATGATATATATTTTCACATTTTACTTGTAATTTGTTAATGAAATAGTCTCAAAATTTAGTATCTGTCCTCAGATATTACGGTATATAATGTCTCTTATTTTATCCCTGAAGATACCAAATGAAAGTCTCTGTTATGTCACTGTTAGGAATTTCCACTTTATAGTAAAATACATTTAAACTTATAAGGAAACAGAAGAAAATGTTCTTTTTTCTGGCATACATTGCACAAAGACTAGATTCATCCAGAATAACTGTCAGGAGATGAACAGATGAAAGTAGTTTATAAATATGTGAGATTTTAAGTTTTCATGGCATGATGTGAAGATTACCGTCTCCTGGGATGTGATATGATGTAGTCTGGTAGATGTTTACTAACATTTCAGAGAACATGCTGCCTCCTTTTAGGGTAGAAGAGTAAGCGGCCTCCGTAGTCTAGAGGTAATGTTCCCACCTCATGACTCGTGGTACGTGGGTTCAGATACCTGGCGGAGGTCGTCGAATTTTTAAGGGTGGAAAAATTCAGGGAACAAGTCCTCCGGGAGGGACTTTACGGCACGTAAAAGAACCTCATATCCCCAAAGGGGATCACTGAGCCAAATTCCAGGACGTTTCCCGCCCAACAATAGCCTCTAAGGCCTCTGATAGATGGGGGAAGCATTATAGACACCGCTAAGCAAGTGACCGAACTCGCTTGCTCGGCGGGACTGATGGGACGCACCATTTATCGGTAGGGTAAAGAGACTGGTAGAATATCATAGAGGGAAGCACAATAGATAAAACTGGTCGCAGTGCATGGGGAAACCCACCCTCTCTAAATAACTAACTAACTAAACTAGGGTAGAAGAGTAAGTTTGGCATGGAGTGAAGATTTGGGAGATGATGAAAAGTGATCAGTGAGTGGTGTATGGAGGTCAGACCTCTGGCACAAAAAAAAAAAAGGTCCTTTCAGGTGCCTCAGTTTCTGACCCATTCTCATTCTGATTGACCCAGGTCTCATAGCTTCGCTGTTCCTCCTGTATTCACGTCACACTGCCCCATACTTTCCTTGTTCTTCTGCCCTGAAGATGGAGTCACCATGTTGCTCTGAAACTTTGGCAAACATCTATTGGACTACATGGTGTCACATGCCAGAAGACCATAAAATTAAGTTTAAATGTGGTGTGTGAGGAGATTTGATTGGAGAAAATTAATTAAAAACTTGAGACGGGTGGGATTAGTGACCTATGTGAGGCAGAGGGTTACATTCTATATCCATTTTGAATGAAATATGCTTACATTTTTTATACATCAAAGGCATTTTCACTTTATACTAGTTCTGAGATCAGTACATTGTAGATTACTACAGTGTGCATCTGTATGAAAACCTTTCCTCCTGCTTCATATGTTTTGGTACCTTTTTAAATGTCTGTCCTGAAATCCAGAACTGAATTTGTGTTGTGTGGGTATAGTCAAATGTTATGTAACCTTAAAAAGAATTCCTAGCAGTGTTACAAGAATGTCAAGTACATGTTTAGTGTTTTATATGATAAAGTGTTTGGTGTTAAATATTTCATTAAAACATACACTCATGTTTACTGTGTGGTTCCTTATGGTGTAGAAATAACTGTGACAGTGGTATAAAATTCATAAGGACCATGTCAGTCATAAATAATGATGCTTGTCTCTGTTTGCCTGTAACAATCATCCAGACCCTTAATTTTAAATGAAATGACAGTGATCTCGGCAGTTTCCCTGGAACAAGGTTTAGAGGAGTAGGGCCTTTGTAAACTTCTTTAACAGCTGGACAGTCTATCAGTGCTTCCTTATTTTTAGTTAATTAGAATGCAGTTTATGACTTTATGTCATAGAAAGACTGATCATTTTTTAAGACTCCTATGTATAATATGAAGTTATGTTAAATATTTTTTGTTCTGCATTTTTCATTAGAAAGATTTTTCAGTCCAGCGAAGACCACAATATTTCTGATGACCTGTAGGGCAGTTTTTAAGGGAAAGAATTGCACCCAAAATAAATATTCTTAAGAGTCTCTTACTTCCCTTGCTGTTCATTCTCTCCATTGACCTGTTTCACCAGAAAATAAACTTTCCAATTGACACAGTATCTTTGGATAAAATGACGTAGTTCTGTTATGCACTTGTGGAACCCCCACAGAAGAAAGGAATTTTGAATTAAGCTTCATATTTACCTATGTTCTGCTTGGTATTGAGACTGTAAAATGCTGGATTATTTTGTGATTTTTAGAGGAATTTTGCAGTGACTCAGGAAAAGTAATAAAGTACTAACTGAATTCATGGAGTCGAAGGCATAGTGCTAAGTTATTTCACAAATATAACGATCTTGCATGAAGTGTTAAATTTTCTTTATCACATAATATGTACTCATCTTATTGGTCTTAATGGCTGTGTATAACACACAGGCCACTAGGAATATAATTTTGCTCATATACTTGTCCTCATACAGAATTACATTGACTTTATGACGCACCGTTTTATTTACTTGTAACCAAGCATATAGGTTCATGAAGGACATACACTAGTATTTTTATAGCAATTTAAATCTCAGTGAGATTCCAGATATCCTTGTATAATATGAGGAGGTTGGTCAACAAAGTGAATAGCTTGAAATCCCCATCCTTCTATACTGATGACAGAATCTTTATTGCTAGTTATTGTATTAGTATCAGAAATGGGGCTGCTGTTCCTTTTGTGTTCTGATATTCTTGTGCATGTTATATTTTGTGAAAGAACTGGACAAGTCTAAGAGGAATTGGAACGATTTTGAGAAAACAGAGTATTAAAATGAATGAGAAAACAGGAATGTGGCATTCCAAATGTCACGAGAATATTGTAGTTTCTGTAGTTCGTAAATGGATGACAACAGATTTGTAATCTTGCTTCAGATGCTTCCATTGAAGAGCTAGTTCACAGAATGAAGCAGTGTCTGTACAGAGACGAGCAGAACTTAAAAAGCTGCATATCATCCACATATTCAGCACAAACATGGATGGTGTGGACAGATATGATTATAGTATCAAGCCTTTTCAGACTTCCATCTGTAAAATGTATTAGTATTGTCCTCTTGTGTCACTGCATAAATGTGGTAGAGGAAAATGATTATTGGCTGCATAAAGTTGAAAGTTAGACCTTCTGCAGTTTCATTGGGAAAAAAACACATGATACTGTGTCACTGGCAAATGTAACACCAAAAATGGCTACTAGCAGAAACTCTCAAGAAAAAAAAAAGAAAAATGAATGTGAGGTATCATCTCCTGATCACTTAGAGGAATTTGAGGAGAAGCAAGTCTGCTAATATAAATGCTTTGCTGGGCGAAGAAAATGTGATGTAAGGATTTATATTGAGCAGAGGAGCCTAAAATTGGATATGATACATGCAGTGTGAACTTATTCTGTTTAATTTCAAAGTATGTAATGTTGCAGTACTTTATATTAGGTATTGGTTATTGCTGACACCGTGTTTCTTTGCAGTCTCACAAGTAAATAAGCTAGCTCATATATTTCAGAATTTAGATGAAAATTTCATTTTGTTATTGAATTGTGAAATGGCCTAAAATTTATAGTCGTTGTTCAGTAATGTATTTAAAACTATAACCGGTATTTTCACTTTACTCATTTTTGTGCTAGAATTTCTTGTAATGGAACAAATGATCCTTTTGTTTGTTGTCAATTCTACTAATAAAAAGCTTTCAACAAACTGGAGGACCACCAGATATTAGGCTGAAACTTCTTTACTGAAATTTCTGTTGTATTTCATTTTAAAATTACATTACATCATCTGTTTATGTGTATTTAAGGAAAAAGTATTTTCAGCCTTTGTGCTGTTCTTTTTCAGTTAATCATATTATCATTTTTCTTTCACTATTATAGAATTTCTTTCTGTATAGATGCACAAAACATAATTTAAAATTGGCCAGTATCCCACTGAAATTTAAAAATATGGTAACTCAGAATCTGAGTGCATGTATCTTTTTCATATTTGTGGAATTTATACATTGAATTAATCATGTAGTTCAGTTTTCAGATCTCTACCTATCAGTGATAAAGCTCCACTGATAGATGGCATACTGTGTTGTGTGTCTGCCATTTAGTTGAAAATCAGAAAAGCAGAATGTTGGAAATGTAAGATGTTACACTACTTCTTGTGAATATTTATTTAGAAAAGCCTTACTTTAGATCCTATGCATGTATTGAAGTGTCTGGATGTGTAAGTGTAGTAAACACTTTACACCATAGATAAGCATTTACCTCTTTATGGATATATATTACATTGTGAAACCAAAATGTATGCTGCTCACATTTTATAAAATTGTTCCTACTTTCCAGTCCCTTCATCCTAGTACTGGATGTACTTGAAATGTGGTTACATTGAAGTCTACCTCGTACAAATGTACATTGCAGTTTTTGCCTGTCCCATGGATTAGTGGAGATAATGGTGCAGGTATCCATTAATTTTTAAACCATTATCATAAAATTCAAACTATACTGGACCAGATACAAATCTGAACTTTAACATCATATGAAAGAACAATACCAAAGCATTTAGGTGACGACAGGGTTAATCTTACATACAGTAGTTTCTGAGCCATCATAATTTAAACAGTGCCCAGTACACTGAGAAATATAAATTTAACATTTATTATTTTAAAGTATTAGGGTACCCTCCAATTGGCTGTCTGCTCGTATATAGTGTACCTGTATGTAGCTGAACTCAGTCTACGAATGTTTATGGTTGCCTTGCCACCACCAAATTATAAAAAATATGACCCTTAATAAATATATGAGCCGAAGTTGACATCTGTGCACAAATTAATTTATTAATAAAAGTCTGCCTTTGAAAATTAATTTATTATATCATAAAAAGTATGGGGTAAACAAATTTATTGCAGTGAAGAACTTAAATACTTTTATACCATTTTTTCCACACTTGTTAAAATAGCCTGATAAAATGCAGCAGATTCCTTCTTGAGAAGCTAATGGTTGCTAACCTAGTTGGGAAATTACCCACCTACAGGTGTCTTGGTTAAATAAGATGAGAGGGGAGACTGACGTCACACTTCCACAAGCCTATTGCATCAGTCTGCCACGTGACACTGTGCTGTGAACACGAATTGTTTTTATAAGAGTGCTTTTTCAACTTAAGTTTTTCATTTTGTCTGCAATGGATAGCAAAATTGAATGTGTCTGCATCAAGTTTTGTGTGAAGCTTGATAAATCTGCTACTGGCACCCTTGAAATCCTTCATGAGTCTTCTGGAGAACATTCTTTAAGGTGGACAGTGGTTTTTGAATGGCATTCACGTTTCAGGCGGGTCGAGTGTCAGTTGAAGATGACGAACATTCAGGGCAACCACACACCAGCAAAATGACAGAAAATGTTGACAGAATTCACGAACTCACCCACGAAGACCATTGCCAAACAATCCATGAGCTCACAGACACCGCTGGCATCAGTTATGGCGTTTGCTAGATGTTAACAGAACATTTGAACATACGTTGCATTGCTGTGAAGTTTGTTCCCCCAACTTGACAAATGATCAAAAGCAGTGGTGTGTAAACATGTTGTGAGCTATGAGAGAAGGCTAATGATGACCCAACATTTATCTCTAGGATCATAAGGAGTGATGAAAGTTCGATTTATGGTTATGTAAAAAAACGAAGCAAGTCATCACAATAGAAGAGCCCACAATCATCAAGAGCAAAAAGGGCGCGGCATGGCTGGAGTTCAACAAACAGCATGCTCATTTTTTTTTCGGCGTGAAGGGGATTGTTCACCACACCTGCCCACACATCCCCGAAAACCACAAAGTTTGTGACTGACAACAACATGGTTATCATTCCCCATCCTCCCTACTTGCCGGACTTAGCCCCCTGTGATTTTGTTTTGTTTCTCAAATTGAATATGAAACTGAAGGGAAGATGTTTTGAAACAGTGCTTGACAGCCAAAGGCAATTGCAAGCGAAACGTGACAGCATTAAGGAAAATGACTTCCACAGTGCTTTTGAAGCGCAGAAAAAACAAGGGGATCGCTCTATATGTTCCAAAGGAAACTATTTTCAAGGAGATGGCAGCCAAAATTGAATAAGTTAAGCCAGCATTTCTTTTTTGACCATGTCCACTGATCCAAATGGGTAGCTCAGTCATTATAGCTACAGACTGGCTTTCTGAGATCAGTTTCTGGCAGAGCCAAGAGTTTTTTTTTTTTTTTTTCAGTGTTCAGACCAGCCCACCTAGCCTCCTGTCCAGGGGGTACCAGGCAGAGATGCAATGGCATGAAGCTGACCACACACTTCCCATCTAGTGCCAAGATCAAGAATGGTGGAACTATGGTCCAACATCCGAAGTCTTCTTGGTGTCTTCTTTACGTTTACTTGTCCATTTTCTGAGCCAGATCTAGTCCACATCCTCTTTCTTTAAAACCCATTTTTATATTATCCTCCTGTCTGACCCTAGAGGGAGTCTAAGGTTAAATTATAAGGGCTGTGAAGCCAATGAAGTGAATCTAGGACACTTACTTCTCACTTCCCATCTACAGGGACCCTAAAAAGGGCCATCTCTTCCCAGTTTTTCTCCCAAAAAACAAACATCCTTTCTCACTATTCCATGTCTTATTTGGGACAAAATGGTGCCATCTTGAAAGGGCTGTTTTCCTACCTATCATTCTATTATCTGGATCTGGCTCCATTTCCTTATCCCCTCCCTTAGTTCTAGATGATCACTTTTCTTGTGAAGATGGAGGCGCCATGTTCCTGTTAAATTGAGGTTTAACGTACAAGACTACATGCTGTCACAACTGATACCACAGTTCTTTATTCTTTATGGTACTTATGTTTTTGACCAATAAATCATCAGTATAGATCAGAAGTTGATGCATAACATTTAATTTCAGTAAGTAAAAGTAAAGTACAGGTATCCCTGTAACAGGCCATAGAGGCCCATAGGGTTGCAAGATGTTGGGGTTCTCACATTTTCTAGCCAATCAGCTCATAGATGGTGGTAAGGTTGTCAGCCTTACATGCTGGCTGCCCTTTACCCCCAAGAACATTCCTGGTACTCATTTCTGTTAGAGGCTGAGTTGACCCCAGGGCCATAGCGTGGCTGGAAGGATTATGTAAATTGAAAAAATCCACCTCATCGGGATTTGATCCTGCGACCTTCTGGCTTGTGACATAGTGCCTCAACCAACTATGCTACTGCATGCCCCCATTTAATTACAGTACCTTCTGTTCTTTAACCTTCCTAATGGTTTGAAATTTAGAGACTTCTTAAGGGCAGAATTCCCACCATATTTTCTGTGCTCAGCATCCATTTTTTTCCTTTCAGTTTGTCTACAAGTGTCTCATAATTTGATGAGAATGTGTTTTCCTTAAATATATTTAATATAAAATTCTAAACTTCCAAACCACATAATCTGTTAGTAGTTACATTAAAATTATAGTTCCTCTGCTGGTGTAAATTTCCAAATTTAATCATTACTTCAATCATTACCTCAAATACTGGCACCAAGGTGCAATCCCAACATGCCTGGAAATTGGCAGTTAATTACATGGGTTCTTCTTTTGCTTAACCGAATGCAGCTCATTCACGTGGCTTTTCCATATCAAATATGCATAAACATCATTTCAGAGCCTCCCTAGTTCTGAAAAATCATTTTCAGTCCTAAATGTAATATTCATTTTTCACAAAGACACCACCATTATAGGGAGTCGGGATAGAATAGTCGGTAGTGTGACTAGTATGGGCTCGACAACAAATGGGTCGGTGTTTTGAGTCCCAGTAGGGTCAAGAATTTTCTCTTCTCCACATCATCCAGACCAGCTCTGGGGTCCAACCAACCTACCCAATGGGTACCAGGGGCTCCTTCCCTGGGGGTAAAGCAGCTGGGGCATGAAACTAACCACTCACATCCAGCCAGTGCAGAGGTCAAGAAGATGAGCATCTATAAATCCACTCCCCCATATGCCTTCATGGCGCAGTGCTTAATTAGTTAAGCACAAGGACAACTACTTACTTTACCATCATTATAGGACCCACATAAAACAGTTGTACAGGTTGCGCTGCACTTTAAAATGGGCCTTCTACACCAGCTCCTGATGATGGACTGTATGAAACACTGGTGGTATGATACTGGCTGTATGAGAAACCTGCCTAATATCACTTTATCCACTAAGAATCCAACATGGACTACCTGGATTGATCTGTGGGCTGTGTGGTGAGAAGCAGACTAATAACCGTGTTAGCCGTTGAATGGCTATATACAGTTTTTCAAGGAATAATATCAGGCCACTTCGAATTACTGACTGGGGATTCGTTTGAAGCAAAATCAAAATGCTGATATTACGAACCGTAAATTTGTTGGTTCAGAACGGTTTGCATGAAAATGTATGGCTCGGTTGTATGTGTTTCAAAATGTAGTTTAACTGTTTACAAGTTGGCGAAGTCATTTTGTTTCTACGAAATCACCCCGAAAAAAAAAGACTAACCCCTTTATTAAAACTACACTCTAAAACAAATTAACTTCTCCGGAAATTTAAGCGTTTTCTTCCATACGCCCTTTCCCCTTTACTACGCTTCTCCAGCAGTTGCGGACAATCGCGTCAAAGCGTAAAGGTATATGTGCCGCTATATACTGACCTTGTTCTTTATTTTACCTTAATGACGTTTAGGATAAGCTAAAAGTACTAGACCATCCTCTTTCTTTAAACTCTCCTTAGCCTCCTTAGCTCCTTAGTCACTTTCGGTCACTTTGGTCATATGGTTCATATTCCCCACGATTCCCACTTCCGTATTACAAAAGTATCTGTGAGCACAGAACAGAGAAAATCGTTTACGATCTTTGATATTGCCAATCCACTGAAGTCAAATAGAATCTCCATACTACAACCAAATTACTTTCAGGACGCTTAAAGACAAGACAGTATTCGAAATTCTGATAATAAATTCATTTCTTATATGCGAATCTACATCTTCCTGTTAAAGTTATTGTTATTTTAATTATCGTGAATACAACAAGTCAAATGACCCAGTAAGTCACTGTTCACCATTTTTAACCGGAACATTTGAAGAACTGAAACGGATTTTATAGCAAGAGGATAATTTTCTTGATTGTTGCTGGAAAATATTATCTCGTTAATTATCTGCTTTGCTGAACGTATAATTATTTTCACTTACATTATTCAAAAGGAAGAAGGATGGCCACAGCTCAGTTGCAGCGACCGAAAGGAGCCATTGATACCGTAAGTGTTGTAATGTAAGTTTTGTAAATTGAGCGCTGTAGTTTGGGATCGCTGCACAGTTAGCAGGCATTTGTCCCTGTTGTAAATGACATGCATAAAGTAAATTTTTGTACATTCTAAATAACAAATAGACACATTTGTTACCGAACAAAGGGATGTCACAATTCATATCTGTGTCTTTCATGTCAGCCACTTTCAGCAGTCCTAATGTGTGTAGCAAAGTAGTAGGTGGAGAAACGTTGCACGAGGGTAATAAGTCGTAGTCAGGCTCAGTGGTGTAGCTATGGGAGGGAGGAGGCCAGTGGTGCTGGAACACCGTGTGGCACACTGGAAGGTATGGCAGAATGAATGAAATTTGTTGAAAAAATCTCACAGGCATTGAGTCTGCTTAAAACTAGACAAAGATCTTTCATACTCTTCTCTCCCCAAATGTCAAGGCTCAAAGATCACTTCTTTGTACATTTCAAGAATTAGAAATGGCTCTTTCACCTTCTATGACACAAGGCCTCAAACTGTGTGTTTAAACCATAGAATTGTCACTTTGTCCTCAAGAGGTCAGTCTTTTGATGCTATCTTCCCATCCTTTCCTGCTCCTCTGATGTATGTTTTCCATATTTCTTTCTCTTTCCTTTCACTGATTCGATCCATTTTATTTTAATGTTTAATTAAAAAATCTAAATGATTTTACACACTATTTTTACATCTGTCATTTAAATTAATAATATAATTTTTGTTTTTTATTATAGTTATGACATATATTGCTAAAAGGGGCTAAGCAGCAAAATAAAAAAGCTCTGTAAACCTTGAATGATTTTGTTGAATCTTTATTGTTTGGCATAATTATAATATTAGAGTACAGTTTGACATATGTTATCAATACTTCCAACTGCTAGTGCTGGAGATGCTGTAGATGATTACAGGGAAGTGAGGGAAAAGTACTGAACCATGTGTGTAATATGGAAACCTGTTCCACTTAGCTTGGTTGGCACATTTTCCACATTGCAAATAGAGAAGTAGTATTATGCACAGTAATGCATGTACAATTTTTTTATTGTCCTGAAAATTGTGTACAACCTAACTGATATCCTTTCTCAAATAACTTATTCAACTGGAAAATGACAAGGCCATATTAATTTGGATATTTCTAGAAGGCTAAAAGCCTTATATACCAAGACAGCCAATTAATCAAATTGTCCACCAGAAGAACAAATGGCTGCCTACCGATTTATGCCATGTTAGTTGAACTGCTTACTTTTTAATGTAATCGGAGATGACACTATGGGATCTGGGATGGCACAATCAGTATAGCAACTGGCTATGGGCTGGACAACTGAGGGGTCAGAGTTCAAGTCCTGGTAGGGTCGAGAATTTTCTCTTTTCCATGTAGTCCAGACTGGCTGTGGGACCCACCCAACCTCCTATCCAATGGGAACCAGAAGAAAATAAGAAATGTGTATCATGAAAGTAAACACAATGCATATGCTGATACTTATCTCACTTTTTCAGGTATTGCATATTAGTACTAAATGTTTTTAAAGCAAAATCTTTTATCCTTGTCACAGAGCTGAGTTATATGAGTATTAAAAAGTTTTACTGTTGTGGTTGTGCATTTCTGAAGTTAATAATGTCTGTATTTAATGACTCAATGGCTTGTTTTCATTGCTCTTAATGTTTGCAATGTGCTTTAAACATGTACTCTGGACATTGTTAATTGTCTGGAGTTGAGATTATGTCTCCAGTATTTCAGAGTAACAATGACTAGCTGTATTCACAGCTCTGAGTGAGTAGGAATTTCTTCTCCGTCTTTGGTTTCTACATACAGATTCAGACAGAGGCAGCTTACAGGAGGGTTAATTTCAGACAATATAAAGTTGTTACAAGCTTTTAGAAGAACTGTTGTGTGAACAGCTGCTGGGTCAGTTGCCAATGGCCACATTATTTTTCTGCAAGTGTACATAAATATGTTCTTTCCAGGCTTAAAAATTCAAAATATGAGACACACAATTTTGAAAGGGGAAGGGGGAGAATGACTCTGGTCACAGAACTTAAAGATTTGATGCTGCTAATATAAAATTTCACCACTGTACATAAGCTCAACGCACCTGAATTTTTGTTTTAAAAGTGTGAAAAGACACTGCTTTAAAAATATACAGTATTCATAAAAAATATTATGAAATTTAATGTCATCAACGTCATGGAACTTCTGGTCATCAAGATCATGAAATTTCTGGGACAGTCCCAGATACATATGGACAGTCACACTGTGTCAGATGTGATTAACAGACTTGTCAGTTATTTAGAATTTAAAACTGTAGAGTATTTTGGTGGTATTGTATTCTGAAAAACTCAGATTTTTGACACATAACACAGTGTATTATTTATACTGTGGATACAAAATTCTGATCAGCAATTTAACATAAATATGTTTAAGCTGCAAATAACATCCTGAACATAGAGTGTGAAGCCTGTCCTGTAATTGGGGTCTCTCAGTTATAAATTGTCTTCTTTTTTCAGTGGACTTCTATGATGCCCGACCCAACAATTTCCATACTGCAATCAGAATCATTTGTGAAGAAGTTAGTAGCTCTTGGAATTTCTAATGTCACATATCTTCGTGCTGTGTTTCCTGATCAAGCTTATGTTGATCGCCAACTTGAAGGTATTCGCTTGAAAATATTACGAGATGATGGAACGTGCCCTGCTGCAGCCCAAGTTGTTGCCTGGCTTAAAAGTGCATTTGATGCTGTCAGTAAGAAATATGTAAGTAATACTGGTTTCTTTTTATTATTGAACAATTGCAACAGTATGCTGAAATACAGAATTCTTTTTATTAGTTTAAGGCTTCTTCAGAATGTGTCAGCCAGGATATCACAGAAGGCACAAGTGAATTTCAAATCACACACCTCTGGATATACGAAATGAATACTACAGACAAAGGCAGGATTGCGCTGTCAAGATTATGAACTTTGATAATATGTAAATATAATGTGAAACATCAGATACCAAGTATTTGAAGGACCTGTTAGAACTCATAATCTAGAAAAGTTGCTTTCAGTATGTACAATTTCCACTCTGTCATCAGTCTACATATAAACAAGGATGGCAGAGAAATCTGTCTGTGTGATGTGATGTGTGGTATATCAGTTAATAAAGTTTCACATTCCAGAAGGCAATTATTTTCATAGTCACCACCGTGAAAACCTCAAATCTAACCAGAATGGCAGTGCTTAGATTACCACAAGTAAGGGAATCTTATGCGGTCATACTAGGGCCGTGCCATAGCTCAAGCGGTTGGTCGCTGGCTTCCAACCGTGGTGGCCCGGTTTCGATCCCGGGTCTGGTCAAGTGGGATTTGTGGTGGGCAAAGTGGAGCTGGGGCAGGTTTTCTCTGAGTACTTCGGTTTCCCCTGCCAATCTTCATTCCACCAATTGCTCCACAATCATCCTCACCTATCTTCTGGGGCTGGTACAATAGGCCAGAAGTGGCCGCAGTACAAGGAACTTAGTCCCACCACACTAGCATTAAAAAGAAAAAATTATGGGGTCATATAAGTAGAGTTGACATTAGTAGAGGGAATGACAGAACTTTTGGTAGTGTTAAGGACATGTTTAAGAATATATTTCTTTGTAACTGCATTTTCTCATAAATTTCAATTTATTGAAGATGCTTCTGCTAGTAAAAATAAACGTAAAAAAGCTTTTTACCCATTTTATCTCTTTTCAGTAAAAATATTCTCAACACCCTGTTCTCAAACACCCTAAGTCTATTTTCCTCCCTTAATGTCAGAGACCAAGTTTCACACCCATACAGAGCCACAGACAAAATTATAGTTTTGAATATTCTAATTCTTATGTTTTTGGACAGCAGACTAAAAGACAAAATATTCTGGACTGGATGGTAGTAAGCATTACCTGAGTTCAGTCACCTCTAAATGTTATCCTGAATCAGATTTTGATTTGTTAAAATCATTCCCAATTATCTGAACTGTGGTATATTTTCAAAACATCTTTTACCTATCTTTATGTATGATTTTGCCCTGCATTTTGGTGATAAGACAGCAATATACACTTAGTTTTCTCTGTGTTTACTTCTAGACCGACTTCCTTATTAGCATCAATTAAAGTCCATGTGTTTTTCTTTATGGTATCTATATTATCACCCAGTAGATTCATATCATCAACATAGACCAACAGTTAATGTGTCTCATTTAATTTCAGTCCTACCTGATTTTCCTGCACCGTCCTAATAGCATATTCTAAAGAAAAGTTGAAAAGCAGTTGCAATAAAACATCTCCTTGTTTTAGACCATTCTAGATAGGAAAATTATCAGACAAATGTTTACCAATATGGACTTTACTATATGTTTCATTTAAGCACATTTTAATCAGCCAGATTAGTTTCATGGAAACCCAAAAATCTGTCACAATATTGTACAATACTTCCCTCCTAACTTAATCATAGGCTTTCTTGAAGTCTATGAATAGCTGATGTACTGTCTCATTGCACTCCCATTTTTTTCTCCAGTATCTGCTGAATGCACTAGATCTGATCAGTACTTGATCTGTTACGTTGAAACCCACACCGATGATCCCCAGTAATTTAATCTAATATTGGATAAAATTTTGTAATGAGTTGATAGGACTGATATACCGTGATCATTCCTACAGTCAGTTTTATCACCCTTCTTCTGAACCGAGACAAAAATGGACTCTTTCCACGATCAGGCAGTTCTTCCTTATTCCAGATAGAATTAATTACTCGTAGCTTATGGATCTTAGAATGTAATATTTCACCTCCTGCTTGAATGAATTCCGCTGAAATTTGAGCACTACCGGGCGATTTATACCTTTTCAACTTTCCAATAACATTTTCAACCTCGAGAGGTCTAGGATCAGGTACCGACGGCTCTGCTGTATGTGTTTCCATCTGCCTAACATCACTGACCCTATTTACATTCAGTAACTTGGAGAAGTAGTTCCTCCACCTATTCAAAATGTGGGAATTTGAAAGTTACTTCTAGGTTGGTGATCCATCTTAAAGTCATTTATTCCTCTATAGAGATCTCTAATGTTCTTGTTCTTACTGTTCATTGCAAGCTCATCAGTTTTGTTTTCAGATATTCCCTCTTTTCATTCCTGAAATGCCTGCTGGTTTCACATTTTATACTGTTCAGACTGTCCCCATTTATTTCACTTGGATCCTGTAACCACTGCAGTTTGGCTTGTTTCCTTTGGCCTAATAATTTTGAGAATCCTTCCTTGAACTATGCCTTATACTTCTTCAATTCGTAATAACCCAGACTGTCTCTTTTAGAAATTTTCATATTCTGTCTAATAGTTTCCCAGGCTCTATTAATATCCACCTCAGTGGCTAAGTTTTCCAAGGCTGCGAACCTATTTAATATATCCACATGATGCTGCTCTTTACCCTCAACCTAGTTTAATTTCTTCATTCATTTTATTTAGCTATCATGATTGCTACAACAGTAACACTTGAACAAACCACATCATTAAATACATCATTCTTAAAATACTTTTGCCCAAATGCCTAAAGGATAGAATTTGTCAACAATAAATAATTATGCCTGACATGGTTAAACTGCAATTAAAATATAACACACATTATCAAAACCAGATAAATAATCAAATTAGATACAATACATAAATCGAAATGCAAGTTTATTTAAAAAAATGCCTATCACACTAGTTTTGTTAACCTTATGAGTTTGTCTAGAGATAAATCTTTTGATTGATACTCTCCATATGAAATCTGTGCGTTGTTAGTTTACTCACTGCCGGTCTCTCCATAACTTTTGTCACCACCAGACAGTGGTCAGTATCATAGTCTGCTGCCCTGAACGATTGGCCATCAAGTATACTTGAATGCCATCTCCTATCTATCAAAATATGGCCAATTTGATCGTGCGTCTTTTTGTCAGAGATGTCCAAGTAAATTTATGAATGTTATGATGTGGGAGCATCATACTTGTGAGAATAAGATTTTTGGATGATTCTTCAGCTAGGATATTACGTTATCTGTTTTCATTGACACAGTTACGACAGTTGATCTTGGCAATACATGCGGATGGGGCAAATCCTGATAATGCTCTGGAGACATACACTTTCCACTTCACATACAAAGAAGAGAATTTGAGTGGGTGTAGTATATTAAGAAAGAATAACAAGACAAATGAGTAAGTTACAGAAGTCAAGGTAATGAAACAATTACTGAACGAATGAAAATATAGGGCTGATGCCATCTCTTATTATAATGAGTAAGTTACATTTGGAAGTTGACTATAACTTGCAATAGAATATACAATGTATTCCGTGTAACTGTTTGTAGTACAATAATGATAACATTAAAAAGAGTACCTAGCTAATATGAGAGCAATGCATAATGAAGATTGGTTGTGCTTTTTGCTTTGAATGAAGAAATTAATATAAAGAAATCTGACTTTGATATGGGTTTCATAATTCTTCCCTGACTCTGAAAGTTCTGTTATTTTATAATTATTACAGAACTACAAGTAATATCAGTGACACTATTGCATGTCTCTTGATTGGAATCTTATACGTTAAATGTCAATATCTAAAGTAAAGTCAACTGCCAGAAAATCATAATGAAGAGAAAATCTGATCTGAATTCACATGTTTTGTGAGAATACCAGTGTCATCTTGGCTTATCGAAAAACACACAAAGGAACTGTGTAATTGGTTGCTAAATACCAATACAAGTCCTAATTTCACTTCACTACCTAGGCACATAGTCCAACACAGCAGGTAAAGGAATGATAATGTATGAAAAGAAAGCACTAAAATGATGAAAGGAGCTGGTAGAAGTGGTTAATGACCTAAGTTCTTTTGCTATGTTTTGCAAATGTGTTATTAGATTGATAACTTTTGGCCTCTTTTTCATCAGGCCCTTGATTAAATAAATTCATCAGACACATTTTAAGAGATGGGAAGGACTTCGTCCATGCAAAAGCATAATGTTTGCATGATTTCAGTGAAGACAATTTCCTAAACATATCTCAGAGCAAATTTTATCTCATTGCTATTTTACAATTATTTCTCTCAAAACATCTTAATTTATTTTGGAATGCATATGTTTGTAAAGTTTAAAATTAGAAATTTGTTCAATTTAGTTGCTTCTTTTCTTTAATAGGGAAGTTGCTTCAGTAATGAGCACGTCCCTCACTGAGATTCGTGGTACCACCCTGGAGATGTTGCGCACCACAATTCAGCTCACACAGTCTCTACCGGTGCTGCCTGACAAATGCGGCATCTCCATGAAGTTACTCTACTATGAAGATGGTGAGATATTTTAATAATAAGCAGCTTATATATTCTCTTGTTTAGTGGCTTTGAACTCATAGTAGCCAAATGAAAAAATCCATATGAACAGGAAAGGAATCTTAACAGATTATGAAAATAAGTTGTGTAAACATGTTTTGTTCTCATGGTTATACACTCATTATCGTCATCATCTTGCGTCTGCACAGAAGTGTCATGTACATGTAAATTCTTTAATTGAAGCCTGTAAACAGGAAGGAGGTAAAAGTAAAAACAGTGGGCTCAAGTTGTATGACCACAGGTTTCTTGAAGTACATATGCCAAGCTTCAGCTTTCTAGGTTCTTTTGTTTTTGAGTTAGAGCATTAACACACAAACACACACATTCTCTTTTAATTAGTTATAAGAAATTATTTTCAATTAAAGCAAATTCTAAGACCTTGTAGGTATATTAGAAGATAAGTTATAAGTGGGGGTTTAATTCCTTCAAACTGTATTTCATATGTCACGTGATGGGATGTGACTGTAGACAGGCCTCAGATTTATATGACTCTTTGATATAGTGTGTGACTACACTTTACAGTTCACTGTTACATGTACACTAATGTTCATAGTCATGTCTTCACTAGCCATTGCTTGGTAGTGGCTTTCAGTAGCGGATGTTCCCCTTCCTCGGGGTTCCCAAACGGTCCCTGGCATTGTCTACCAGTGTTTAACAGCAACAGCTCACAATGACTGAACCACAGCAGTCCTGTAACTAACTCACCAACGAACCGGCTGACTAATTGCAACAGCTAACTGGTTCTGCTTATGACATCTCAGCACAGGCTGCATAGAAAACGCCATTCCTCTGTTGCAGTGCAATTGTTGCCATGGAAATGTACTTTTTTACACAGCCTTTACTTAGCAATGGCTGTTGTATAGTTGCTTATTTTGTGATCATTGCCTAGCAACGAACCCACATGCCACAATATTGTAAATTGAGAAAAATTGAGAGGGGGGGGTAGAAGTCGTTCCTTTTTCAAATTTGTTTACATCATGTTCTATAGTCATAGCCTTTACACTAGGTATTTGTAGGAGAGTTGCCCTATGATAGTGTTACATGTACACCCATTGCTAGGCAAAGTGTTGGTAAACAAGTTCCCATGAAGAGAGATTCTTGGTAAAGAGTCCATTACTAGGTTATGTAACAATAGATGAGGATATCTTCCATGTGGTCTGTGCCAAGCAACAGTAGAATAATGGGCTTCAGCAATCCGTTTCTAAGCAACGGCTGGATAGACACATTTCCATGTATCAGACTGTGCTATAAAAGCAATGACATCATCAATAATAGAGACGATGTTTTCCATGAGGTCTATGCAGAGTGCTTATAAGAGAAGGGCATGATAGAATTCGTTCAAGTCAGTTATGAGGCTGTCATAAGCTGGAGGAGTGAGTCCAGAAGAATTTAAGTTCCGAGGTTCTATAGTGATTGAACAAGAACGAGCAAGAAGACTTCCTAGTAATTTGAAGTGCTAATTTCTGTGTTGAGATCTGACTAGTGGAAACTGAGAATCCCAGTGCATGTGCAATGGTGGACTGGAAAGTGTGAAAATCACCTGTAGCACTGTATTAATGGTAATTAAGAGAACTTGTAACTGAAATACTAACAAATCCAGTCATCCCAACTAGAACCCGTTATTTTCATCATGTGTACCACCAAACACATGACAATATGTACAGATGAAACCATCTCTGATATACATGTGTGTGGTGTTTTAATCTCATTTGGTGCTTCAGAAAGTGTTCTAACTTACAGTTGCATAGTTCTAGGTTTCATAAATAGGCTGGTTTGTGTAGTATCTCTAGCCATGTATTAAAACTTTTAATAACCCTTCCCCCATCCTACAAAGCAGCTTGGAATTTTTATTAGGCCAGCTTTCTAGTTAATTAACATGCAATATGGCAATTTCAGTATATGCTTTTCTTATATATTTTTTCAGTGACTCCTGATGATTATGAGCCACCAGGATTTTATGCAGTTGAAAATTCCGCATTTATGTTTCCAAGTGAATCATTAAACTGTAAACTTGGTGAAGTGACAACACCTTTCCATGCTCTTAAATTCAATGCTAAAATGGAGATTACAAAACTTGAGGACTTGAAAGAGGTTAAGGCTGGTAGCCATAAAATGAAGAATAAATACCTTGAGAAGAAGACAGAAACTAAAAATACCACAAAACTACAGGTATCAGATTCAATCTATTGAAGTCTCATATACTGTTTCTGTATTTATTTATTTAACTATTTGATCAAGAAATGCAAGATCAGAGTCTGACACAGTAATTCTCCATTTTCTTTCATTCTAAGAGTAGAATGAAAGGTAAAAAATATTTAAGATAAAAGTGTCTACAAAAATATTTGCATCTAAGAACTGTTATAAGTTCTATGTCTGATTGAGGTATGACAAGGTGATATTTTGAAATCATTATTTTTTTTTTTAAATTCCTCATTTAGCAGCTTTCCTTACACATGTTTGTCAGAGGCATATTTAATATATATGGCGTTTCAAACTTCTAGCCCAATGTTAGAAAGGTTTGAGATTTAATTACAATTATCATAACTAGTCTTAAAATTAAACAGTGCTAATGTACTAAAAAATCTGTCAGCATAATCTGGGCTCCTGTGATCATCTTCATTTTTGGTTGGAGCATACCCATTTGCAATATTCAAATTGTGCCACTGACCCGAAGACACACAGTTTTAAATTAAAGTACAATATATTATGATATCGGAAAAATTAAGTCATATGAGTGTATAGTTTATTCTGCATTTCATTTTGAATCATTATCTTATTATGATTTTATGTTTCCTTCTGATGTGCAAATAGAAATTTTACTGTCCTGATTTTATTTTGAATGGTTTGACTTAGTGAAAGCATGTGGTTTTCAGGCACAGGATTTCCCAGTAGAATTACATTCGAACCATCATACACAACCTGAAGAACTAGATAATATATGTAGCTCCATAAGTGTAGATGGCAACGACGCTGCAGACAGTGTTATGACAGAAGATTTGATTCCTTCAACCCAGCCTATGTATGTTAGGAAGTCCATTGTACAGCCCCATCTGGGGCAACCTGCAGAGAATGTGGCTGTTCCTTCCTGCAGCCCTGCACAACCAGGTCTTAATTTGTACCAACACTGAATATAATAACTGTACTACAGATGATGCACATATGATTATATGCACAAATTTAAAACATTGGCAAATTAATTGGAATAATTATTTTGCATCATGATACTGTACTCCGAGTCACCAGCCATTTTTGGTGTTGCTCATGTAGGATATACGTACAGATTTTTGTGGACACTTCAGAATTTTCTGAAAAAGATTTAAATTAAAATAATTAGATTATAACTAGCTTTGCAACTTGTGTTCTTATATAAAAACACTGCAAAATACAGTTTTGCTGTGTTCTTATATAAAAACACTCCAAAATACAGTTTTGGCACACACTGTCTCACAGAGGCCTAATGAATAACAAACCGTTTTTTCTTCAGAAAATGATATATACCATTACTTTCACCCAGAGCCCTCAGTTAATGAGACACCTGAACACTGTCTAAGCATTTAGAAATCCTTAGCCCTGGAGCAAAATGCGATTTGAAGAGTGAAATCGCTACATGCCTTGGGATCGTAAGCGAAGAGTTTAATTGTTTTGAATATAATAAAATTTTTATGGGCACCCAGAATCCCTTCTGAAAGTACCAATATGCCTGTGAGCATATGATTGGCAATCCCTGGTATTGTGCATGTTCACATGTGCAAAGTGATTCATCCTTTAATTGCTGCTTGTCTTCCTTTAATCAAGGACAGTGTCCAACTTGAAACCACTGTTTTATGTCAGAATATAAATAAAGATAATAATATTTTGTACATTTGCAGACAGCAATATATTCACTGTATCCATGCTAAGGTACTGGGGTACTTTCTTCGCCACCATGTTCAGAATGGTTATAGTTCCTTATGTAATGCATGCTGAAGGCTCCTAGGTTCTAAATAACGGAAGCATGAAGTTGACCACTCACGTATGTTTAATGTAACCTGTTTAGACTTAAGCACTTAGAAATGAGTAAATTTATAGGAAGTGATAGCTCCTGAGGTAACAAAAAACATTAAATTTATTTTACTTCTCATTCTTCCTCATCTCGTAGCTCATACTTTCAGTACAGAATAATACTTAACATAATCAGAAACCTGTACATCTGTGTAACATTGGCTTCAAGTATCTTCATATCGATGAAGTATGCACTGTCCAGATTCACAAAATGTGAATTCAGATCTGGGAGAGTGAAGGTTTGTGAAGCTTTACATCTTCCTGGCATGGTCTGTAGGCACAGGTCTCAGGGATCTTATTTCTTAGTAAGTGAATTTCATCACCACCACTACCGCCACCACTACCATCATCTGCAAGGCTTAGGCTTGTTGGTATCTCATTCTTATGTGAACTGATTTTTATACCTCTTCATGGATATTCTCCATTGACGTCTTGCTTGAAATTTACAGTAAAGTATTCTGCTTAGAATTATCTTCTTCTTTTTCTTCTTCATAAGGCTCGACAGCTTCATTTCTTGAATGTGTTGGCATGCTCAACAATTTCCTTCCAACTACTTCTGTCCTGTGTGTGAGTTATCCAGTTATAAATTCCTAAATCCTTTAGTTCTTCCCTCATATCATCTTTCCATTTAATCTTAGGTCAGCCTCTCTTTCTTGTGGCTGCCAGTCATATATTCTTTTAACTGTTCATCCAGCCTCCATCCTTGAGATGTGTCCAAGCCAACTTATTCTTTGGGCTTTGATGAAGTTAACTATGTTCCTTCCTTTTGTTAGATTATCTAGTTCATCATTTGTTTTAATTCTCCAGGAGCCATTATGGTTTCTTGATGGCCCAAAGATCTTTCTTAGAATTTTCCTTTCAAAGACTAAAAGTCTATGTTTAATGGCTTCTTTGAGTGTCCAGGTTTTGCAAGCGTAGGTTACTGTTGGTTGAATTACCATCTGGTATAATCTTAATTTGACTGTTTTATAATTAAGTTTGCTTTTAAACAGAGTTAAATGTGCAGCATATGCTTTATTTACAATCTCTTGTTCGATTGTGTTATCTGAATTAACTATAGACCCTATATATTTATAACGAGAAACCTGTTCTATATTTACGTCACATCACGTAGAATTGTCACACGTTTTAAACATTTTTATCTGTATTCTACTAGTTTCTATGTTAAACTCTACTGTATTCTGGTATGTTTCCTTACTTATTTTATGGTAAACTGTTGCTGATATCAAGAAAAGCATTTTTGCTGATTCAGTTCTTTTAAGTTGTTGCTGGGGTGGAGAAACTTTCACTGCAATAAAGGAGAAATGGTACTGATGGCATTTTGTAAAATTTCGTTAATGTTTGTATTTGTGTTTTGTGAGTAATGTCTGTTTAAATGTCCCAAGTAAGCTATTGAGCCTACATTGTTTGGTTTCTAAATCCACACTCTTTTCTTAGCCTATTTAGTGTCTAAGGAAGTTAAACTTTACTGCCTGCTCCATAGTAATATTACCTGTCACAATTATTTTCTTTTCAAACCCAGTATTTTTGCTGTAATTTGAAGTTTTCAATGTTATATGCAGGTGAAAAATCTGGTAATTGGTGCAGGAGCTTTCAGATGAAATACCTGGAAGCTGTTGAAATAGTTTTTTGATCAGCAAACAAAACTGCTTTCAATAAATTTACATTTAAAACTTGCATATTTTACTGCCATTATTTAATGGCATGGTCCAAACAAACATTTACACTCTTTTTTTACACCTTTCTTTATTTGTAAATTTATTACTTTGTTTTCCATTTTTGGTTACAATACACATTTGTTTCAACATATGTGTGCAGCTTATTATAAAAATGAATCATCAATATTACTTAATTAAACCTTTGACGTGGTCATTTAAATTCCGCGGCCGCGGCTCCTGCGGTAATATATTCAGCCGGCCATTTAAATTTTGCTNGGAAAACACAAGGAAAAAATTTATTAAGACATCTGAATGTTATACAGTCAGTTTTGAATTTGTGACTGCAATTTAATGTGTCGATGAAAACATATTTTCAAAGTAACAAACATGCTTTGCAAAGATAATTGTAGCATCTCTCTACTTCCCTTCTTTCATGCATGCACGCATACACACAATTAAATGTACATATCAATATGAAGTGTGAATTTGGGAAACAACTTTGGCATGCATGGAATATTGAAGTTTATAAATGTGGCATATCACAGGAAAATGTTGTTGACCTCTGTGATAGTTATTAAAAGACTTAAATTATGTAATTTAATGAAATTTGGCACTTGTAGTGAACATGGTGAAATATTAATAAAAACATACTTCATTTCTATAGTTCATATTAAGGCGATTCAGTTACATACTACATAAAACTGTAATGAGTACTTTTGAGACACATTCACATGGATTGTATTAAAATAAAATGGTTTCATCATCTTTGTCTTTCCATTTCTATGACACAACTTGTCTCCAAATTGATGGGTTTTTGTGACAATTTATGCTGGGGAGTTTAAAAAAATCTATTGAAAAAAATTCAGTTTTGCGTAAGAGTGAACAAAAATATTAGACTCTTTATATTAATACCCAAAAACTGTGGAAATCACCTGTTAGCTTTGTTATGTTTGTGTATATAAAAGACCTTGGCTCCCATTGGGCGGATTTTTGTGACACTTTATATTGGAGTGTATTATTAAAAATCTATTGAGAAAGCAAGTTTTGGTTAAAATTGACAAAAACAGCAGACACTTCATGCAAAGACCCAGATACATCATTTTTATAAATCTCACTCTGTCTTCACCTCCACAGATGAAAGTATACTGGGGTTGCCATGGGCTTCTCATTCATTAAATTCATAGACAAAAATTTTTAATGCACTTCAAAGGTTACATTATACTTATATTAGCTGTCTTGTTTGTTTTGTTGAAGGCTTTCATGGCCTCATATTATGTGTGTGTTATGTTTCCTGGCTTTTGATTGAAAATTTGTTCTTTAGAATATTGACTAATTATTGTACTGAAGTTGTGTCTTAGAAGACATTAGGAAGACGTTGTTTTTGAATAATTAATTGTACTATATACACACATGTAGTAAAGAACCTGAATGCATATTATACAAATATACAGTAAACCCTTGTTATCCAGATTAATTGTGGGGAAGAGGTCATCTGGAATAGCAATAATCCAGATTAATGAAATAAAAGATAGCCCTAAATGAAAAAAGGAAATGAGAGAGAGAAAAAAGAAACAAAATTAATGGAAAATTCAATAATATAGGCAGTGCTAATAAAAATGAATGAAAGAATACCACTGTAGAGCCTTTATTTAAAAAATATAAAAAGACAAGGAGCTGAAATCCAGGGTCTCCTTCATCCAGCTCAAGCCAATCTTGGATATTTTCTTGTGTGATTTCAGTCTCCCAGGTGCTTTCAGCACAATATGAAAGTTCTCTTTCTCCAAAATTGATGTGTCTTTTAAAGTGTGTACTCAACTGTGAAAACATTTTTTTTTTTCAGTTTTCATGTTTTGATCTGGATTAACTGTAACCAGATTAGCGAGAGTTTACTGTACTATAGTTCTTTGTTAGATTTGTAGCCATACAATATATGTATGTGTTGACAGGCATGTTATGGACTGCACAAAGAAACTGATATGACAGCAGATCATGTGTGTGAAGTCTGTCATAAGCCTGAAGAGAATCGTTGGTGCACAGACCCAAAGCTTTTGTCACTCTCCATGCAACAAAGACAGGTTTGACACCCAAGCAAGCTCAACCAAGAGCACACACATGTCTCATATTGTATTCAGAAATAAAAAATGACGAAAGTGTTGGTGATTTTTAAACACATTGACACTACTCATCACAGAATGGTACTATATAAAATCCAGTAAAATATTTTTATTCTCCAGAACAGAAAACTGCATGATCTCATAATTAAATAATTTAATTAACACTGCATGGAATAATTTTACGAACTAAGAATGTACAAATACAGCAAAGCTTATAGAATTTGTCTAACAAGACTTTATTCCATTTTGTGTTTTCTTTTTGACATTGAAGCATCATCCCTGGAAACAAGTAATATCCAATACAGGATTACTTTTAGTTTTCCAGATATGGAATGTCTAGGAAGATTATATTGAGGCCTGGCACTATCATTAAGTCAGTCTGGCAACAGGGACACATGCTTCTTGCTTTACATTTGACTGTGTAGTTTTGGGCCAGTAGCATAGTTGACAGGCTAACAGCTCATACAAATTACAATTTCTCTCCAATATCTCCCAGCAAATATCCGAACTGTTACTGTGAAACCGGCTTATATGTTGTGTATTTGTGAGTTATAATCCAAAATCCCTGCTGTCTTATTAAACATTCAATTGGTCATATCAAAATTTCAGGTGAAAGTTACATATTAAAATCTGTTCATGTATGATACTGATATGAAAAGTAAGGGAAATACTCCAGCATAAATTACAGGATGTTACATTTCCAAATAAGGGAATAACTATTCATAAAATCACAAACTATCAGATAAAAGATGAACCACATGAAAATGCTCACAGAAAAGAAACTGGATGAACCAGTGCTTGACTTGAACATTCTCCTCAAAAATCCTTTAGATAAACAGGAAAGCGGGTTATAAATTTTGGGTTTCAAGCTTCAGGTTTGTTCTTTCAAAAGGGAACTTCAATACGTGAATTTGAACATTTTATAGAGGTGCAAGAAATACATGCATAACAATGGGGACCATTTCTGACATCTGTTGTTGTCTGGGTTGTTTTTATTTGTGATTTATTGGTCTGTGGGCTTGCCAGTTGTGCTACTGGTCCATTCATGTGTGGAAAGAATTTATGAGTTCATGCAAGGAGCTTGCCTCTATTCTGCTGGGCTGGACTTATGACAAACTCTCAGTTGACTTCCCTGTACTTGGGTAAATACATTGTCATATATCCTTTGATGCAGTCTTTCCAAAGTTTTAACAGGTCCTTTTAGATTGACAGATGATTTTGCACTAAACATTGTTTGCAAACTTTTTATTATTGAGGTAGTGGATTAAGAAGGAATGCATATAAGAATTTAAAAATGCAAACAGTATACAACTTATAAGAATGCCGTCTTCTGGGATGTGGCTCCGTGTAGATCTAGTGTAAACCGACGTTTCGGAGGAACATATCGCCTCCATCTTCAGGGTAGAAAAATCCGCGAGCAACGAACCAGTTTGTGCCAGTGACTGCAGACTGAGTCATCAGTTGAAAATACCCAGCTATATAAGAGCAGGAAGGGAGGGAGGGAGGGCCACAAGGGAAATCAATAGAGAAGAGAGGGACCAGCAGATAGCAGGTCAGAGCCATGTCGGGGTGAAAAGAGGCAGGGCTACCAGGAGAGCAATGACCCAGTAGCCTCAGGGCTAAGCTGCCGAGAGTGCATCAACCTGCGTAGACTTGTAGATCTGGCGTCATGTTCCATGTCCTAACCACCTTTTACTTCAGCTTCAATAGCCTGTTCTATGAACAAATCGATGGTGTCATCATGGGTTCACCACATCTCCTGTTATTGTGAACTTCTATATGGAGGACTTCAAGGAGAGGGCGCTTAACTTGTCCCCTCACAATTCCCTCTGCTGGTTTTGCTATGTGGACAACACCTTCGTCATTTGGCCATGGCCCAACAAGCTTAAGGAGTTTCTGAACCACCTGAACAGTATCCACCAGTGCATTCAGTTCTTCAGTTCACCATGGACACCAAAACTGAGGGCCACCTCCCCTTCCCTGACATAGATATTTACAGGAGAGCCGATGGTTCTCTGGGCCATAGAGTGTATGGTAAATGTATCCATATCAACCTCTACCTTAATGCTGGGACCCACCACCACCCATCCAACAAGCAAGCAGTACTTTCCACACTGGTGCACATGGCTAGAGTTCTATATGATCAAGACAGCCTACAGGTGGAGTTGGTGTTCCTGAGGGACGTTTTCAGGCAGAATGGTTACAATGACCGGCAGATCCACAGAGTCCTCAACCTTTATCTGAATATCATTCAGCCCGAAGACCGACCAGACTCAGTCGCCTTCCTGCCTTATGTTGGGACCATATTGAACCGAATCAGCAGAGTGCTGTCCTGGCACAACATCAAATCAGTGGACCTGCCTCCCAAGAAAGTATCTAGTTTCCTCTGGCCAGTCAAAGATAACCTGAGACTAAGGGCACCAGGTGTAATCCTCTGTGAGTGCAGCAAGGTCTTCATTGGTTGGACAGGCCATTCAATGGACATGAGGTTGAAGGAGCATCAGTGGCACAACCATTTTGAACATCCAGACAAGTCAGCGATGGCTGAACACAGTGTTGACTTGGGACACCACGTTCAGTTTCACAATACCACCATCCTCACCACTAAGACCCAATGCATGTTTTGCATTGTTAGGAAGGCCACTGAGATTGAGCTCCATTCCAACAATGTTGGGTTTTTGTCTCGCCAAGTCGCAGAAGCCTCTCACATGTTCCCTCAAGAAACTTCCTGAACATGACGTCAGATCTAAAGACTGTGCAGGTCAATACATGCATGGCAGCTTATCCCCGAAGCTATTGGGTCAATGCTCTCCCTGTAGCCCTGCCTCTTTTCCCCCTGACATGGCTCTGACCTGCTACCTGCTGGCCTATCTCCACAGACCCTTCCCCTCTCCTCTCTATCAATTTACCTTGTGGCCCACTCTCCCTCCCTTGCAGTTCTTATATAGCTGGGTGTTTTTGACTAATGACTTAGTCTGCAGCCACCTGCACACTCTGGTTCGTTGCGTGCAGATTTTTATATGCTGAATATTGGGGTGATACATTCCTCCGAAACGTTGGTTTACACTAGATCTACATGGCACCACATCCCAGAAGACGGCATTCTTCGTAGTCACTGACATGAAAACCTCAAATCTTACATAGCATACAACTTCCATTTTGGGGGTAATATCCCTGTAAAATATTACAGCTGTTTTCATGCTGTAATGAAATTACAAGTATCATGTGTTACTTGTGCCTAAAATGACACAACTACAGAATTAGAGTGACAATGGAGGAAACAAATCGTACTTGATAATTTATATAAAGTACTGTCATGTATGAGGGGTAGCATGACTGGTAATTGTGGGTTCCAGATTTGATGATTGGATTTATTGCACACCTCTCTTACAATTACAGTTGATTATAACAGTTCACATATTCAACTTCTTCTTGATAACGAATCTCTCACTGTATTTCTTCTGAATCTCAGACTGGTGTCTAGTCTCTAGTCTTCTATTATTCAGCGCGACCCAATGAATCTCTCAAATTCACAAATGCACCACCCTTCATAATCTTGGGAGGACCGAACAGAAGCCACCACATGGAACTGTTCATCTTTTGTTCTCCTGTCCTGTTATAGTGGAAATGCCTGGTGATCTCGAGGTTCTCCATATCCACGGACACCTCTGTTGAATCTTCATTGACATGAGAATGCGTTTTAGAGAGCTGTTGCCTAGCAACGAGTTATATTTTTCACATATTCTGGCTTTCAGGCATCACATCACATTATATCACTGAGAAACAAAGAACAAAGCCTTCAAAGAGCAAGTTCTGCCTTTCAAAAGCCTCTAACTCAAGGGCCAACAACCATTTTTGGGTGTCAGACAAGTGGGAGGAATTTATTATTTACAGCAGGCACCATATGAATCATGCAACAAATATGCAAATTAAAATAGCATGATTACTTCATGAACAGTCTACATCTTGTCTTTTCCCAAAATGGAATATTAAAATACATATTGTTTAACACACACTATTTTACAAAAAACACCTAATAAATAATAAGTCACTTTCTTGCAAATATCACCATTATTCACATTTTACTCCTCAATTAATGTAGAATTAATCAATCATTGAATCTGACAGTTCGATGCTACTGGGAGTAGGCGCTTTGGAATACAAGTGTGGTGATCATAGCAATCAATGTGACACCTGTACACAGCCTATATACTATTTTGAACTCCTTAGCAGAGGATGGAGGTTTGGTTAGCCAAGTGAAAGTCACTACGAGTACATTGTGATTATGATTATAATGAACATTTTTCATGTGCATCCAAAATCCCTTTTGGGGGCACTTAGGTTACTGGGGGATACCCACTGACATACGGTTGGCAGTCCCTGTTCTAATTTATATGGTTATGTGAACAGTTTTTTTTTTTAACGGTATAAATGAGAAATGATTTTGAATATTCTGCAGTGTACATGGGCTCCCATGTTGATTTTAGTTTTCAAACTCAAGAGGTCAATAGGAGTTATGTTGGACTAAGTTTGATAAGGTGCATTTTGCCAATATACTTTTTATGTTAAAATAAGATGTAAGTCACCACCTGAATATATCTAATTTATTTTCTTATGTTGATTAAATGCTATTAAAACCTTGACATTTTTCAGTCATAAATGACCATTATCAGGGGTGATATTAGGTGTTAGATGAAATTTTACAATTTCTGTATATGAATAAAATATTTAAAATGCTGAAGTTATAAAATTTTTATTAAAGTTAAAAAATAATATTATATTAAAGTTCATTGATGTGAACCTCATAAGAAGCTCATATTGATGCAGCACAATATCACTTTATTGACACCTTACAAAATGTGTATGCGGCAGCAATATTCAATACACTATGACACAGCAATTATCAAAAAACTGCATTTGACAACGGTTCACATGAATGAACTTTAATATAATACTGATTTGAAATTTTTATGACAATTCAAAATATTTTATTCATACATGTAAATCGTAAAATATCTTTTAATATCTGGTATCCCCCCCCCAAAGATGACCATTTAAGACCGAAACATGTCAGGGTTTCATGGTACTTAATCATCATACAAAAATCAATGGATAAACTCAGATGGTGACTTTACATCTTATTTTAATATTTTACTAAACTTCAGTGGTTGTGTCTTTTGTAGGAAGTGTGCTTATACCGTCGGACCTTGGCCTGCATACAGTTGTGTCGTGTTACTCCTTCCTTCATATCTCAAGAATTGGATGTTCCAGAAGATATCGCCCAGCTTCTCTTTGAACATCTTGAAATGGACGGTGTCCTCAGACCTTCTCGTAATAAAGGGTGAGTACAGCCCAATATATTAGATATGTTGAATGTCACTGAATAAGGAGAGAATATTCCAGATCCTGGTAGACTGAGAATTTAAACTTCAGGATGACCAGATAATCAAAACAAATGTTGATATAAAATGTGTGAGGATATATTTAATTTTGTAATTTATTTCACTAGCAGTCTCGGTGTAAGTCAAATATGTAGTGTTTTCATTTCTGAAAACATGTTTTTCGCTACTCTAATAAAGAAATAAAAAAAAAATAGAAATACAGGTTGAAAAGATTATTCTTCGCAGGCCAGCTTTTCTTGTGGGAGGCTTATCATCTTGATATTATGGTGAGACAGTACCCTCCTGGTGTGGCTGAATGCGTCCATGACCACTTCCCTTGCAAAACTTTCTGTATATCAGAACCAGTCCCCGAACCTTTAACTTTAACCATAAAGACAGAGACAGCACATTCCTCTGAAATGTCAGTACCAACATAGAAGATTACATGGTGTCACAACCCAGAACACCTAAATCTCAAAGACTGTCATCATGAAAACCTCAAATTTATAAATTACTACAAAATTTTATGAGTTTTAATTAATTTTAATGGCCAGTTTACTTATGGACCTAGTTTAACTTCTATCTGTATATTTTTAATCCTTTGTCAGATTTTCTTGAAAATTTATATATGGTGCTTCTGTTGTATGAATATTGCCAATTGTGTTTCATTTTCTTTAGTTCCTTTTATGAAATTCAATGAAATTTTACATTTATGTATAGAAGTTTGTTGGGTACAGATTTTAGAGTGGGGTAATTCTTATTGACAGAATGCCTCGTTCCATAAATCAGAAGGTGCTGAAGAATGAATTGCTGCCTAAATACTTTGGTTCTACTGCAGATTTGGGTTCCCACAAATACATCTTTAAGTCTGATGATCCTATGGACAATAGGACAAAGGTGAGGTAACATAAATAGTATGTTTGATTTGGTTCATCCTGGTCCGTCACACTAGCAATATTGTAAAAGCTTATCAACTCTGTCCAGTGTGACTGATAAGTATTCTCTTTTCTCCTTTTTAATCTTTCATCCTTGACATATTTCTGTCTCAGAGACCATTTTCAGAAGGATATATCAATACAGCAGAAACTACTATTACAATGTGATTGGTCAATATCAATATATAATGCAATATCAAGTCCTCATGCCATCATACTTAATTGATTAAGCAGACAACTTTACCTTTTTTACCTACTCTATGCAGCATATTGCTTTATGTTGAAGAATATGAGTCCATTATGAAGAATATATGTGGCTTACAGTATTATAAGCAAGGAAGGGACAAATAGCCCTGTATATTGCATACAGTACTTGCATGTATAAAATGTTTGTACTAGCATGTATGCCTAACTGCACCTATGCTCAGAACTTAGGACCTAGTCCATCTTCAAAGCTTTCTTCATTCAGACATGTACAACTAATTTCAATAACTCTGTGACTTCATATACAAATACAGTTTTCAGGTTGACTGGAAGTCTTGGGTAGGAGGAGGGATTTAATGAAGGTACAAACAGCACTGTTTTCAACCATTATGTATACTGAAAAATAACTTGTGCATACCAGAAAACTTGTCAAAATTTTCATATACTCTGGTTCATTATATGTTTGATTTTGAGGCTAAAACAAGAGTGAGATTACTGGCAAACAAATTTTCAGAAAAATGGATCAGTTACAAATCTTGTCGAACTCCTATATAATGTTTTTGATTTAAGGTTTTTACCTCATTTACCATTCAGTTGCAATGATTCCTGGTCAATAAAAATTCCTCAGTTTAATATGTTCCTCAGTTTAATGCTGAAATCCATTGTTCTCAAAAGAAACTTTAAAGCACAGCTATACTGTATATGAAGGAGTGACAGATTTTATAGTTTGTCATGTTTAAGGCATATTTATTATGTTGTATGAACCATGACAAAATATGATCCCTGTTAAAGCAGTCACATACAGGCTGTGCATGTAGGTTGCTGTCTGCAGAGAATATATGTAAGAAAAATAATTTGTAATGTGCTTGTAACTTTCAGGATTTAAAGGCAATGACTCTTTCTCCAAAGGCTTCAGAATGCAACTGGCAAAAGAGAGTGTGCACTGGCAAGGTATCTCTTCAACCCTAATTAATATACAGGTGTCTGAGAAAGAACTCAGGATTATGAAGAAGATGTTTAGTGACCTGAACAAAATAGAACATTGTAGATAGCAAAATTAACAACTAAACATATCACGTTTTATTGTGCTAAGCAATGTAACACAATATATATACTATGTGCAGCAGCATTGTGGTCATTTTTGTCATGCCAGTGTGTTGTGGGTGTCACTGTAAGCTGCAATATATGCCCATTTTCTAGGCTGGTGGTTAGGGAGACATGGACCCATTACATGGCTTGCTGAACAGCACAATGCAATATACACGTGTATGAAGCACTGTGATGATATTTTTACAATTCCATTGTTTTGTGGGTGTCAGTGTAAGCTATGCTATACACCCACTCTCCAGGTCAGTGGGTAGGAACTGATGGACCCAATATAACCTTCTAAACTCTGACTAAACCCCCACCCCCCGATGAACGTTTTTATGGGGGATTATGAAAAAGACATTGTAATGTTCTTGTTGACAGTCTGCAGGATTTATGGCGCAGAATCACAGTGGCAATAGCAACATGATGCATGCATTGCTGAGCAGGGTGTGGACTAAGCTCAAATGTCATCTTGATATTTGTTGGGTTGTGGGTGGAGCCCATGCTGATTTGTCCTGATTCATAATAATCTTATCTCATTTTCAATTTCTTTTATTCATCCTGAAACTTGTGTAGTGTTATATTAGGCTGAGTCATATATGAAACTTAATATGCTGGGTGATTCTGCACTGTTCTCTGTCCTTGTGTCAAGAAACATTACTAAAGAAATCCAGAGTACTTTCTCAAACATCCTCTGCTTACAGTGTTTTAGGTACATAATTGCCTTCTTGTGTTTTGGCACCATGAGAGTAGTTTCTTTTCACATTTAAGAAAGGAGTTGGTATGATTCTTTAAAACTGTATTGTATTGTATTTTATTTCATCTGTTTTGCTACATAGTAACACTTGGACACGTCATTCAGTAATACAAGTTAAAATAAATCTACAAAGTTACAAGCATACTACCAACATTTGTTACAATCATAAGCAATATATAAATACAACATTCCAAAAAATATACAAACTACTATATACAGCTCATGAATGGCCTGTAATCACAAACTTCCTGTTGTTCCCCTTTTTTATACACTGGTTTTACTTTAGCTATTTTCATCATATCTGGAAAGACCCTCCATTTAAGCCTCCTCTTGAATTCATATGTAACCCATGTTTAGTGAACAAGTCCCTTTCGGATTCCACCTCTATAACACGTGAATTTCCGAAAACCTTCATAAATTTTTTTAACTTTCTGTTAAACCTTTTCACCTCATCATTTACACATGATTTTTGCTCCAAGTCATGTCTATGTGGTAGGTTCATAACTAAAACATTTGTGTGAGTATTCTTGTTTACAAAGTTCCTAATTGGATCATAAACATATAGTGGAAATGAAACAAAATTCTTTAATTCTGCATCAAAACACATGCCAAAATTGAACCTCTTTGTCAGCTTTGTGGAACAAATGCTTTTAAAGAAGGTGTCATGAATATGGGAATTAAATTATACAATAAATTATCAAATAAAATTAGGGAAGTGGAAAAACTGGGGCAATTTGAAACAGAGCTCAGATCCTACTTATTAAAACATATATTTTACTCTGCAGATGAATGTAAGTCACATGCATTAGCAGAATATTATATTTAAGTTGCTTTGATTTTATGATTTCTATCTGTATTGCAAGGTAGTATGAAAGAACTTGGCATGTGTTTTGATTCAGAATTACAGCATTTTTTCCCATTTCCTCTATATGTAATTTTATGTAGTATATTATTCCAGAAGTATGCATGCAGGATACTTGAAGTATATTTAAATTCTTAAAAAGTTGTGTACATGACATATGTCCTCAGACCACTGATTATTCATACAATTGTTTTTGTAGTTTGAAAATACTTTTACTCTTTGTGTCACCACCTCAGAAAATTAAATCATAACTTAAATGAACATAAAAACATGAAAAATAACTACTTGTTATGTGGGTTCATTACATCCTTAGGAGATTTGTCTTACTTTTAGATCTGTATGCAGGATGTATTGCATGTCAATAGTTTGACTAAAAAGGATGAATAAAATTGAATTTAATTTAACTCATTTAATGACCCCAGTTCAATTATTCGACTGCATGAACAAATCAATAATCCAACCCTTGATTATCTTCTGTAAGTGGTATTATTTGGTCAAGCTAATTTATTAATACTCTTTGATTATCTGAAAAAAAAAATCAGTAGTTTTAGTTACATTTACCATTATTTAGTAGATATTCAACACTACTGCATATTTGTCATATCCAAGCTGTCCTTCTTCATATGAGAAAACTGTCTTTAGAAACAACTTGCATGTAAAATTTTATAGTTTAATGATTTCAGTTCAATTTTAATTTTGTAATTTCATTTGTTTAGATGAAACTTGTCGTAGAAGATGAGAAACCTGCCCGTAAGAGACAGAAGACTTCACAAACTGATGTAATTCTTTAGATTTGTGAACTGTTTGCTATGATTTGCTGGTAAAGTAATGCCAGTATATCACAAGATTACAGCAGTAATATTATTTGACTGTTTCATGGTTTTATGTCCAATCATCCTGTTCTTCTGTATTCTTTAACATAAAAACAAGCTACCAGTCACCATTTAAAAACAGCAGTCTGATTTATTATAATTTCAAATTAAATGATTTATTTAAAGGTTATCATAAAAACAAATTTTATTTTCATTTTTTTTAAATTTATTTTCAGTATTTAATAAACATGAAAATAATTATTTAAGACTTAATGTTTACTGTCCCATTAACATTAATTTAAAAAATTAAAATAATAGATTATAAGACTGTTCTGACATTTTCTGATGCAGAAATAATACCACATATCAATATTTACTGAAAAAGAATGTTGTTTTTTTAATTACTGTTCATTATTCAATAACTTATTATTAAGCTATCCTGAATTTAAGAAAATCAGAAACAATAGATTATAAGGCTGACTGTTTTTTCTGTTGCTGAAATTATCAGTTTATTAAACAGGAAATGTATTAATATTGCAATTAATTTGACTTCTGTTATTAGTGTTCAATGATGTCAATACTTTTTCTGGTGTTCATCTTTCTTAGAACAAGTTACCAAACAGTTACTGTTCATCACTCTGTTCCAGTTAAAGTACATGTATTCATATTTAAAGTGTTTTCACCTAAATATTTCATGTTGTAATATTCTAGTTACAAATATTAAAATAGTTACTGTTTCTTGTGACTATTCTTACTTGGAACAACATATACATGCATTATTTGAAGGAGCCAGAAACTAACCCATTGTGTCGTGTTATGTCTTACTTTAAAAGGCACACTGCAGAATTTCCAGACAGCATTTAAATGATACAAAACTGAAGTCTACCCATAAAATATAAATAAAAGATACTCTTGAGGTGGCTCTTGGGCCTTTCATTGCGTCTACAGAAACAGGTTAGGATGGAATAGTTGGGATAGCTCAGTCAGTATATTGACTGATCATGGGCTGGGAAATTTGGGTCTCATTCCTGACAGGCAGAGATTTCTCTCAGCCACCATGTCCAAATAGATGTCAGACTTCTTGCCCTTTGACATGAAAATGGCCACTCACCTCCACCAGGTCTAGTGCTGAAGTTCAGAATGCTTGTAACTATATTTCCAGAAATGCATATAATGCTTCTGGCACTGGTAGAATAAGCTCAGTGGACTTCAGAATTGGTTTCAGTGCAGTGAAGAATATGCATATTTTTTCCTCTGTCAATAAGGCCATTGTTTTATATTCTGCAAAAAGATACAAATAAGGCTCTTAACTAAAGAAACCTCTTGTGTTTCTTAAGCTCTGTGTAGCACATTGTACTTAATTTCAATTTTGTATTCTGCAACAGGACTTATATTTCCAGCCCAATAAAAATGGATACAATTACGAACGTAACTCTGTAAATATTGAGTATAGGATGCAGGTTTATATGTCACTTTTTGCTCAAGATGTCTTCAGAAAGAGCTCCATAACTGGCAGTAACTCCTCGTGAATCACCCTGTATATATTTCTTTCTGTGATGATGAATTCGTACTGCATGCCACAAGAGAAGGTCAAATTAATGTTGTGCTTGATCACATGCATGCATTTATTCTTATTAAGAAGTTGCATCTGTTTATTACGTATTGCAACACGTTAATGATTAGACACGGGTTTTGGATTTATAATTTGATTTATTTAACATTTATTATTCTTAAGTACAAGTAAGAGTAACACACTTGCTAATCTATACAGTTTATGGAGTGAGTTTTGCGACGCCTTTTCCTTCGTTTCTTCTTCTCGAGAGTGGCAAACTGCGTTCCCGCTGCTGTCGGATGTGGTGACACGTTGTTTGGTGGAAGTGCTCTGTCAGCTTCTGTGGGAGGTGAAGATCCCAAATCTAACTGCTCATAAGACGTTTTCTTTAATTCCCTTACATTCTTCCACAGTGCACCCTTGGTTGATACTTCTGTGAATAGACCATTCTGTGCTATGTCAAAATTCGGTTTCTCATCCTTTTCTGGTGGGAGGAGTGCAGTCGTCTTGCTGGTTTCCTTCTTGACGGAGGATTTTAGCTGGCTGGAGGTGCAAGTGCTGTCTGTTCTGTTTGCTTCTAGAGTGCGCTTGGAATTCGCTGACTTCTGTTCAACTTGTGGCTGTGGGTGTTCCTGATTGAGCTGGCTGGAGGTGCAAGTGCTGTCTGTTCTGTTTGCTTCTAGAGTGCGCTTGGAATTCGCTGACTTCTGTTCAACTTGTGGCTGTGGGTGTTCCTGATTATTGAAACAACCCCTGTCTTTATCTGATCCTTTTTGATAGGAGCATCGTTCAGGGCAGCTTCTATTGCCCCTTGTTCCTCTGCATTTGAGTCCTCTTCCAAGTCAGCTAAGATGTTACTATTTGGCCTTAGCCTTAAATGTGGGTTTTCTCGCAGCCTGTAGCTTTTTAGCTTAGTCTTCACAGAGCTCGTAACCACCTGACTGTATTCTGAATAATGATCAATTTTGACCTGTAGCTGCTCTATCTCGTCCTTTTGTTCTGCTACTATTGATTCGAGTTTCTTCACCTTCTCCTCAGCTGCTATCAAAGTATCGACAGAGATTTTCAATGCTTCTGACTCCACCTCCAATTTCTGGGTCAGTATTAATTTAGCCTCCTTAAGACTTAACACTTCATCAAACAACGTTTCCAATTTTCTCAGCGCACTTTCTACATTTACCGTCAACCTATCTACAATCTTATCATCACTGGCCTCCATCATTTCCTATTTGGCGTTTATTACGGATGAAAACTATCCTGGTTTGTGATGTACTGACCCCTCAGCTGGCCAAAGATTTTCTTAATAAACTGCTACAAGGACGTCTGCCTGTTATGTCCTTACTAATCGTTATTTATAGCGGCTTTTCACAGTTGAGATTCTTATGCTTCCGTGGCAACGGCCTTGCTAGCTGGAGACTCACTCACGACTAAACGCAATATAATCATTTACCCCGTTCGTTCTAGGCTTATACCCTCCGGTCGGACACACAGTAAACGCTCCTTCCAACAGTACTTATAACGTTGCGCACTCATCCATTCCGCGTGTTTACCTAGCTGTCGCATAGCAACAGCCATGTTTGCTCACTTCACTGTTCCGGCTGTGTTGCGTCATACCACTGCGTTCGCATCTCTTCTACGTGTTTACGTAGCTATTGCATAGCAACAGTCGTGTCTT